CCGACCGCTCGGACGTTTCGCGTCGGCGCCCCGACATCCCTGTTTTCTTCACCCCTGACTCGCCAAAACCTTTTCGCTTCTCTGCTCTTTACCCTTCGCTAACGTTACATCGAAACGATTTCGCTTTTTCTTCTCCGCCCCTAAAATAGAATATCGATAGAAACTTGATCGCCTCGATTTTACTCGAAGGAACGATTCGAGCGGTTTAATCGCTTCGACGAAATTTATTCGAATGTGCGCGCGCATGCGCTCAGTCGCTCCTTTTTAATATGCAAACGATCGTTTTCCCGTTCGCGGTAATTACCGTGCACTCTATTGCAAGCGACAAACACGAAACCTACCGACACGAACTCCAAAATCTTACCGCTAAACAAACGAAACGAATCTCGGCAAAAAGCGAAAGTACGTGTTCCAACGTCGACCAATATCTCGCGAATGAATCAGTTCCATTCTCGTGACCAGTTACAACCGCTAACTGTAACGAATGTAACCGACATCGGTCTCCGCAGCGGTTCGCTTCTCTGTCTACCTTGCTCTCGCGGGAACGATTTTTCTTTCGTACGTGTTACGCGCCGTAATCTCCTCCTAACGTTTACGAAACGATCAAACTGTACGAACGAATCTCGTTTTCGTAAAAGCGATATCGGAATTTCTATCTTGGGGGTTTAATACCCGGACGCATTTCGGATAAAATATAGCTACATCGCTCTTCTTACCTACGATACGAGACAAACATTGTTAACGGCCGTGTTACGAGCAGTTCGTAAAACTGTTGCGAAATATTGTAACATAAGCCGAATTTGTGCCCTCGAACGTTACGAACCTACTAATTATCCTGTTCCTTTACTTTCGCACAATTTTATTATCACAAATTTAACGTTAACCTTTATTAAACGTGCTCGTTTGAATTCCATTATGTTCCATTATCGCGCCACAATTTCGAATGCAACTCAAATGAAGCTAAAACTTTTTTTACGAACTAAAACATTTACGTACCTCGTATGGTTGTTTCTTCAAGTATTGTTACAGTTCTTCATTGTAAATTAACACGATTTTCACTGGTAATTGAACAGAAAACTTTTATTATTAGCGGATGGAAAGTTGGATAGTCCGCGACGACTTTTGGCGGAAAGCGTCTACCAGTATGGCCAACGTAACTTAACGTCACTTAACTTCAAGTCCCTAGCATCTCTGAACTCTCGGAAACTTACTATCCGACAGCCAATAAGCAATCGAGTTTATAAAATTCAAGAACATGTTTTCTACTCGAACGCAAGAATGCGTTTTGTGTTTCCCGCGGTGTCGTTAAGGTTATGTACCTGCCATTGTTTACAGAGTTAATCCTTAACATTTAATAGTAAAGTAGAAATCTAATATATAGATATCGTATTTATTAAAATTTTAATATATTTTCGTTATCTCGCCGGAGATTCGTAATGCATTTCTTCTTAAGGTTTTCATAAACCAACGTTCTGGATATGGAAGTACCTACCGTAGAAAATTTACCGTGAGTGAAAATTGTTTTTTACTTCGAAAACAGTCAACGTTAAGACATTTATTAATTTTTGAATAGTTGAACTTTCACGTGTCATGATTGTCATTGTCTCTCAATTGTTTATGATATAGCTACTGTAAGGAGTTATGGTTTTTGATATCCGATACCGTATGCCGGTGCGAAAGACAACTCGTCGAAGATGAAATCAAAAAGGAAACGAAACTCCTCAAAGAAGGACTGCTATTTTTTAAACCATATACAGAAGGCTCCCTTCAGAATATACCTAAAAATGATCCTTCACCCCGAATGTATGAATTAATTAGCAAACTTGCTCCACTTCTTGTACGTATTATGTCAAATTGTATTAATTCTCCATTTTCTAATGCTTCAAAAAGCAATAATTCTGTTATACTTTCAGAACCTGGATGCTACGCTTACATGGGATTTAGTTTGCAATTTTATAAAATATGAATATCGAAATTGTGCAGAAACTTTCGCGTCTCAACTAATAGACTTTACTTCGATGAAAGCATTAATAGACGACATTTGGGATTTTTATTACTCCGAAAGGATGACTTTAATAAAGTGCCTTAAACTTATGGTCGAATATAAAGATAAAGAACATCGCTATAAAAAGGAGTTTTCAAATTTTTTCAATGACATTTTATTCGGGACATTACTGGAGTCTGTTAGAAAACAAATAGAAACACTAAAAACTGTGAATCCACCTACCAGATCCCAATTGTGCACGGAAGAATATTTGCATAGGTTGTATAATAGTAGTCTCATAGAAATGCGAGAATTACTTCATATACTGACGGTTATCGTTCACGACATACATATCGCTCACACGGATTTTATTCAGTTGTACGAAAGCATCGGGGTAAGCACTGCGTTGCATCGGTTCGTGTCATAATATTTAATAATTTTGCGTTTCTAGGGAGAACCACGACGATTAGCAAGTACGAGAAGTCACGAAGATAAAAAAGCGATTGCTAAAAAAATTAGAGATATACAGTATAGTCAAGCAGGCTTGCTTTTGGTAGCGTTAGACGTTAGAATACAGTACGTTTGTTATATCATTATCTGATCTTCTCGCAATTATAAAAATAAAAATGTAATTTTCTTCTTTATAGTCCTAACATGGAAGATTGGGTGCAGGGCGTAAGAAGCAGTATGCAAGAGATATTTGAACAAAAACGTGTTCGCGATAATTTCTCTCAAGATAGCCCATTACTTCTATCGTGGATGTTGGCAAATTATGCGATCGATCCTGAAAGCGTCGATGTTTTGAACCGATTTAAACCATTTGGCATTAAAGCTATACAACTTGATGTTTTCCACTACTTGCAAGAATTAATGAACTGCGAAATGATTTGCGAGAAAACTCATTATGCCGAAGTAGTACGCAACAGCGTCTACAATCTTCTTACTTTGACATGTGCTTTTGTCGACGAAAAGAGGTTTAACACGTTGAACGGTATCTTCGATGCCGTTGCAGCTACCATTCAGTTCCCTGAAACTGCGGCACGATTTTGGGAAGAAGAGGATAACGGTTTACGATTGGTTTATAAGTTTGCTGCTGAACAATTTCCTTATGAATTCGAGCCACTGACTAATATTGCGATTGGATTGGCAAACGCTTCGGAAAAGAGCAAGGAGAGAATTGCGACGGAGTTAGATCAATTGCAATCGTTAACTTTGGAGATACCGCGGCAACGGGATCATAATAAACCTTTCAGGCCGTTTGAACAAGAATGTACGATTCATAGAAACTCGTATGCCCTATCAGAAGACTGTTCCAAAAATATACGGATATTGTCGAGTGATCGAGAAGTGGTAATATTTTATCAACAAGCAAGTTACTGGGATGTTTTGCATTATAAAATAGAACAACTCTTTTCTCAAGTGGGCGGTAGAATTACACATACGTACGAAATGAATAAAAATTTACCGGAAAACGTTTATCAGGGTCTGAAGTTACTAAAAACTTTGTTAAACGCCAGAATACGACAAAGTATGGTAATACCGACTGAATTAAGTTTCGAGATCATCAACAGATTTTCGTATCCGGTATTGCTCGAAGATAAGATGTACATATATAAAATAGTAGCAGCTTGCATCGGCATTTCATCCGAACTTGTATTGGAATACCCTGAAGAGATCTTGTCACGGATGCGTGCCGGTGTTTATCCCAGATTCAATAATCGATATCAAAAACCTTTAGATTTTGCCGAAGCAGTTTCCTTCGACGGTGGTATAATCGCATCGTGGTTATCGGCCGTAGAAACGATCTCCCATTCTTACCCAATTTTGAACGCGTACTTGGATATTTTATCAAAATATTTAATCGGAAAATACAACGAGGAAGCTCTGTACACGGTAGAAATACCTGGCATGGTATTTCTGTTACAAGGTGTCTTGCCAAAATTGGATTCCTGGTATTTCGACTCGGACACTGAAAGAACTGACTTGTGGTTGAAAAGTATGTTCTGTGTTCATAGAGCCCTTGAATCTAGTCTACCAAAAGAAGACATACGTAACGAATTACAGCTCGTAGTCGCGTATAGTTTACTGTATTTAGAACCACGACACGCGCTGCTCAAGCTGATCCGTACAGGTGAACGTACTTTGCATAACAAAATGATGGCAGAAACAGATTGGATTCGTGGAAAAGGGTTCAAAGCGATCAAAAGCGTACAGTTGGCTTTGTCCGTGGTGAACAGATTACTGATATTCCGAAAGTCGTTGGGTCTAGAAACAGGAGATAGATCGCCGCTGGAAGCTGCCTTGTATTCTTCGCCACGTGTACCAAACGGTCTTTTAATAGTACCTACGATCGTTAATTATTTGTACGTTTGGTTCAGTCCACCATTACAAGCGATGGCTGTTAGACTATTAAAAAAATTTGCCGAAGGATCATCGATGTCGCTTCTCGTTTGCATGGGTATGGATGGTACAGCTATACGAGAAACGTTTGCTTCTCGCCGAGGACTCATGTCCCCAACTTGTGACGCCGAGGTGAAGGTGGCTATTCTTGAATTAGTCACCGTCTGTTTAGAAAAGCAACCTGGTTTAACGGAAGCTCTCTTCAATATTGTGCATCCGGCTGAATGCAAACGAATCTTTCCTCGATCTGTGGAGGAATTCTTCACGGAAGGATGTAGACAGTTTCTGGTTAAATATCTGCAACGAATTTACGAAAAAAAAGATATCGTACGCGATAAGTTGTATAATAGTACGATGGCGTTATTACGAGCGATGTGGTATCATAGAAACGAGATTCTCGTAAATTTCTTCCGTAAACGAGAAAGCTTTTGGACTCATCTTTTCGCGCCTCTTTTCAGAAATCTAGTTCCAGGTGCAAAAGGTTATTCCCATCTGTTGGACATAATTACTTTGGAGCTGTTCAAGAGCACCATGTTGGAAGACGATTTCTCCGCTAATTTGAAAAAATTGTTGGATAAGTCGCAAGATTACTGGAAAAAATTGGCGATATACGTGCTCGACGATGCGTATGCCGATACAAATGATTTAAACAGATACGAGAAACCAGACACCACTACCGTAGATTCGTTGTACGAAACTAATTTGGAATCCTGGTACAATTTCATCGTTACGCTAACGGATGAAAGAATAGCGTCTAGTTATCCCATCAACGTAACTCAGGCACAATTAATAACTCAGCGTTCCTTGGAATCGTTATTGGAACGTGTCAAACAATCTCACGACATCAGTAGCCGAAAAGTTACGATGTTGCTAGCTTCGTTGTCCCTTCGATGTATCACCTCTTGGAAACAAATGTGCGTAGACGACTCGAGGATCTTCAAATCGGGTTTAACGCAGCTGATGCAAGAAGTCGGACAAGCTTATCGCAGTTACGGAAAATCATTGCGTCAAACGCTGATCTCTTTGCTTCTCGGTTGCATGCAATGCGTGAAAAGTACTCTGCGCGAAGATGCGACTAGTCTGGAGTATCTTTTAGCACAGTCCTGTACGATAACTGCCAGCGAACTGGAGGAATTAAAGGAAGCTGCCACTATGTTTGACAAACGAAGGTCTGAACGAACTGAACGAAAGACGGACGAGAAAGGAACGGTGAGCAGTGTAACTGTGCAGAAGAACGTCGACGAAAGGAACGCAGAAACTCTTCGCGGTATTCGAGAAAGTTTACCAGCCACCTTGGCCGTTTGCATGGTCACGCAATTGTTGCGCTCTTACGTCGAACGAAGCACGCTTTCCAAGTACCAGCGGAAATCTAGCTGCGTGCAACTTCAACAAATGATACCAGAATTAATGACCTGCATCGGTATCACTCTGCAAAAGTACCCGTACATGAGATTTAGCAGCGCGGCACTCGACCTGCTTAACTTGATTGTTCGTTTGCCGTACACTTTACACCCGATCAACGAGAACGATATTTCTAAATTGTGGCTGAGCTTGATGCCGCCTGACGAACTTGAAAACAGTATGTTGGACTCGTTGTACGACGACTGTCCAAACGGAAGATGGCGATGCCAGGATTGGTGGCCACTTTACACTCTTGGACTCGAATTTCTGATAGGACTAGTCACTAGAGATACGCCGTCCGTCTACATTAAATCTATCGAAATGTTCCTAAATTCTCACGAGTACCAGTTGATGGTCGCATCGACGCTATTAAGGCACACCGCGGATCTGTTAGCAGCGGACCTGGTGCAGTCACTCGTCGCTCTTATTTACATGATGGCAACGCAACCGTACGTTTGGAACTCGATACAACCGAACGTTTGCGAAACTTTGATTAAATGCATGTACTTAGCGTACGACAACACCGTCAACTTATTATTAAGACCACGAATTCTGAAGTTCATCATCGACGGAATCAGCGTAGAGAGCGCGGAAGAACTAGAATCGTGCGATAAACGTTCTCCGAGCGGAGAATTAAAATTACTGGTTAATAAATTGATCGTGATAAACACGACTTGCGCCCTTAGTTTCGTCCACTTCTCTCCGAGATTAAGCACTCTCGTGGACACCATCTACACACAGGACTTTTGGTACACTCCCATGGCGGAGATGAACTTTGGACCACCTCAGATGAGCATGAGTTCCGGCCCACGGTTAACCTACGGCACTATAATCAGCTCGACGCAATTGTTCACGCAAGCTCTTCACTCCCGATCGCAGCCTGTAAGCTTGTCTAACGTTTCTTTTGGTGGACAAACGGATAAGGCGGATTCCGCCAAGAAAGAGTGGGAACACGCGACCCCGGAAGATCGACGAATGCACACCAGCAAAGATTTGAGGAGGATCATCCATGCTGCTTCTGGCTCTGCCTCCAGATCATCCTCCAACGTAGCAGGAGAATTTTTGGGATACGTTAGCGGCCTTGACGTAACCGTGCCGCTATTAAGCAGTCCGAGACTGGTTCGCAGACCTTACGATCCGCTCATTTGCGAAAATACCATTCTTTCGCGGGCGACTGCCTTAACCACTGGTAGACACGTGGCAAAAGGAGGCAGCGGAATGGTCGCAGGGAGCAGCGACAGTCCTGTCGTGACCAAATATCAAAAATTTAGCGATCCTTGGTTCGAATCTATGGACGAAAATAACACAAGACTGGCTCTTGAAATGAATCTCGTGTTGATATTGTGCCAGACCTTAGAAGGTGTCAGGAGTCCAAGAATTGCTCTTAGAGATAGACAATTAATTGCGCGCGAAACGGTAACGGAACTGGGAGTGTTCTTTGATTTCCTCGAACATCGTGGTACTCCTGATGACTGGCAAGTTAAAGGATCGTTGATCAACGCGGACGCCAGGAACGTAAGAACTATTCAACAGAACGTTGAATCGAGCCAAATTATTTTGCCCGCGAGATTGAAGGAAACCCAAAAGAAAAAACCGGAGGAGAATGTTTTTACTACCGGTACATTTAAAATAAATAATAGTAATATACAGTTTTTGCCTTTGATGGGAAAATTATTGAAAGCTGTAATGGAATCTTTGGATATAACGCAGTATCGGTAACGATGGACGTACTGTCGAGCGTCGCATACGCTTTAAATAAATTAAAAACAGGACGAAACCATTTGATAACTTTCGAAGAAACAAAAATTTATAATTATTTTGTGTATACGTGTGTAAGTCACAATAAAGTAACGATTTTTATTGTACGCTTCTGTTTTCGAATATTGCACAGATCATCGGGAAATTTGAGAATGAATCGAGGATATAAAAATATGAGACAAGAAATTTTTATCGAATTTCATTTAATTTAACCATCTTAAACGATTACCGAGATCTTGTACGTTGTCAGATTCGTGGATCGTAATTTTGTACAATTAGTACCAGTGATCAGACACGTGCATAGAACAACATTACAATTATCCTTTTTTAAATTTGCGCCCGGCGCTACAATTCTGTAATTCAACTTATCGCTTGCTCACTTTGATAACGCTTAATTATTTATAGATCTGGAAATGTGAATCGTTTTGACGATTTAAACTCATTTCTTTATAAATCTGGTCTACAGGAATGATAGAAACGATCGGAAAGTAGAAAGCACAAAGTGGAGAAAAAGCTATAGTAATTTACGTTCACGTGCCACTCGCTATTCAACTGATTCTCCGTTTAACGTATCTTATAAATTTTCGGCCTCGCGAATAACGTTTCATTACGCTTGATGTAATCGACAGTCATATTACGATACGGTATAAAAATATAATTCGTGATATTAACGAATGTTATATGTTATCGACGATAGCGATGACGCGAGTGCTGAATAAAGCGCGTCACGTAAAAAGACATTCGACGCCTTCCAGGCTAAAAACCTGAAGGTCGTGTTCGACGCTAAGGGGGCAAATGAGGTAAAATATTTTCAGGTGACGGGGAATCGTGTGAATCGTTACCTCTCGACGTCACTCGTGAGTGGTAAAAATTGTTCGAGGAAACGGAAGTTACGATCGAACTCGTCGTAACCGTACTTGTAATCCCAACGGACGTAACCATCGGAACGGTACTGGTCGTAGTACTGACAGTAACCGTTGTTACGATGCAGGTGGTCGAGTGACTTCGAGACGTTAAATTCGACCACATGTGTGGATTAGCATAACTAGTGTCGGACGGTGAACAATCGGAATGACGAGCTGGTGTAGTACAATACATCGAAGTTGGCAATGTAGTTGAAACCGTAGCTGGAGATGATACGGTTACAGCGGTCGGTGCCGGTGGTGGTGGAGGCGGAGGTGGAGGTGGTGGTGGTGCCACAGTTGGTCCATTCAGATCTGCCAAAGGATCAACCGCAGTACCATCCCATGGTTCCGTTGATTTTGGTTCGTCGGTATTCGCTGCGCTCGCGGTTGTTCTTTGTCGTTTAGCATCGCCATACAATAAGCAATGAACGTTCGGGGAACTGCTACGATCACGTACACCTTCCTGCTCCTCCAGGAATCGGTCCATATAGTCCCTGCTTACGATTCAATGATCTTGTCATACTTCAAGTTTCCAATCGTAATAATAAGAAACGTAAACAAGAAGTTATGTTACTTGAATGAAGGAATCTAATCGTTTGAATCACAGAGAGAAGCAAATTCAATATTTACGGTTACAAAATGTTGTTTTGCTTATGAATAGAGAAAATACTCACGTGATACCAGGATGTAAAGCATATTTTTTCTTTTCTAAACGAGCTTTGTACGTAAATATATCGTGGCGTTCCGTTTTCTTCCACAAATAATAAAATTGCACCAATTCACCGACAGATCGCGTTCTAACCTGTAATCAAATCGGTTACATTGTTTACAATTGTTCAAAGTTTAAAAGTAATTTAAAACTGATCATATCGCGTGTACCTTATTCTTCTGTATAAGATGAAAATCTTTTCCGTATGTTCGCAATCCGGATTCAAAGTTGTGACATTCTTCCTCCGACCAAAGGCTAACTGCGTCCGTTGGCGGTACAACGTTCATCCTACGCCTCCTTAATGCCTCTTCAAGATTGTAACCACATTGTAACAATAAATATAATGCTTGTTCGTCGTCTCTAATATGAGATCCTGCAGGCAAGGAACCACCTTGCACGGCCGGTAATTGTGCCCGTTCTAAAAATTCTTCAGTTTCTTCTTCGGGAATATGACTGGGATCCCATAACATTTTATCCTCATTTTCATAAGGTAAAGCATCGTCGTATCGACAAAGCCCTTCCGGAATAGCCGCTTGGTAATCGCTACCAACCATGATTGTCTTTTTCCATTCTTCCTCGTCTGGACTATAGTCGCAATCATCTTCTTCTTCCTCGCTCTGTGGTCGTGAAACGCTTCGTAATAATCTTGATGTACCACTACCAATGGCACCGCTAACTATTCCATCCTCTCCTCCGTCGACAGTACCACTACTAATACTACCCTCTACTCCACCAACAGTATTATCGTTTGTACAACCAGCAAGCGTGGTTATACCACTACACTTTGCGGCACTAGTACCCCCTATCGTTGGAGCTGTCCTCGTATTTTCATTATTACTACAACCATCGGTCATGGAACATTCTTCGCCTTCTCCTTCTTCATCGTCGTCGTCATCGTCGTGAATTCGATGTCGTCTAGCACTATCTCCAGTACCTACGGTACCAGTATTGCTTCCTTTCATCGTCGATCCCGCCAATGACGTCGAATCTTTTCCTTTTACCAGCATCTCTGAATAAAACTGTTTAAGATCTGGCTCGTTACTAGTTGCATCTGCTTCGTCGTCGTCGTCGTCGTCATCCGCATCGTTGTCACCTTTATCCGAGTACTGTCCTTCAACTTCTGGATCGCCGCTTCCGGATGGTATTAACATTCGATCGGAACTGTTCGAATTTTCAGTCGACGGATCCCCGTATCCATACATCGCAAGTAGATCTTTTAGTGGCATATCACCTTCCTGAAAGAAGACGAAAACACAAATGATTACCATGCCACGTTTAACAAACTGACTAAACATACGAATCTCACTACGAGAACGCACTTTGAGTCCAAAGTGTTGTAGAAACTTATCATAATTGTAATTATTTATGGGCTTGATTTTTTCATTTCACTGGCTTGATCCTAGAATAGTTGGGATCAGAATCTTGTTACAAAATGAACATTATACATGTTAAATATTTTACTCAGACATCTCAGAATTATACCTTTTGCAAGTTGGACAACTCGTTGTGAGAATCTTCACTACCTTCTAAAGCTTCTTCTTCGTCTAAAGTCCGTTCATCATCAAAATCATTTACCATCATTTCAGTAGCTGGACCCATATCATAATCTCGATCTGCCCTATAAAATGTTCCATATTTAAAAACATGTTTCCTCTTTAGTTTCATGAATGATCGGTATAAAAAGAATAAGCATTAATAATTAACTGCTCTTTACTAACATTTTTATGTCTCTTGCGGTAACCAAAACAGAATCATGTCATGTAGATACTATAGAAGAATGTACTCAGTGATCGATGCACACTATTTATGATAGTGAACAAGAGTGTCCTTAAGCAACCTGCATTGTAGATCTTCTTTAAATTTTCTAATATAAATAAACACTTATGTTATTTAAACGAAGTAACATATTAAAAGAATATGATGTGTTTTATGACGCGTACCTAACCTTAAAATTTGATGACGTTCATGCTGATTTCATGTTTACAACAACAAGTCATTTTAATAAACAATATAGTACAAACTACATGCGTCTTGAAAGTCTTTTTGTTACTGACACTCCATGCTGTAATAAATTTCACTTCACATCACTAGAAATCTGATTTCAATGTACATTTTCACAAATATTAGTAAATTTGTCAGCACAAGAGTTTCATGATATATCTAACATTTTTCTAAGGCACAATTTTAATCAATGACAAAACTATGATAATCGCATCAACAAAAATAGTTCAAAGTTACTATAAACTTTAAGAAAATACTTTAAAAAGTACACGATACATTTATTTATATTCGTTAAAAGGTATCGTTACGTTTCTGTAGCTTCTTAAAAAGCGGGAAAATCATGATACTTGTTGTAATGACCAATCATGAACACTCAAAGTTACGAAGTATCCATTTTACTATTGGTTGGAAGATACGGTTTCATACACAAATCTTTCCATAGATTATTGTAAATGTACCCTTATGTGTACCAAACTTACAGTAATTTTAAATATTTAAATATTAGATAAATGTATATGTATGCATTATCTGATACGAATGTACGTACTTATATATATTAATAAATATAGTAAACATTTATATTGGCTTTTATTTACATATATTTACATTATATTTCATATATATGTACAATACAGTTACTCCTACATAATTAAAATGGAGTGAAACTCACTGTGCAACAGTTGATTGTACAGTATTGTAAAGTATTAGCAGTGATATTAAATAATTAAAAATATATTTTAGATATTACTATTTAGCCTATTGCATTTTATAAACATATTTTTGTAATCTTGTATGGTATAGCTTCAAAGAAAGTATATTTTAAAGATACATTATGTTCTCCATTGTATTAAAAAACAACTACCTTAAAAAGGAACTGGTAAATATTTTATATTCTCATTTCATGTATCTAATATATAAAAATGATCAATAAGTTTATATTTTAGATTAATAGGGGAAAAAAACAATTAATATTGAGCGCTTCGAGGTGAATAAAAAGTTATATATTTTATAATTGAATACTGTATTCTTTTTTTATAATGTTATTGTTGATTACAGAAGCACTTCTGCAAAACAATATCATTATCTTGATGAATATCAATATCTTGAAAAAAGTAAAACTCCTACAATGCATTTTCAATCTTCTCTACCACGTTTACCGATTCCTGAATTAAAAGATACATGCAGGAGATACTTAAATGCACAAAAACCATTATTGTCAAATGAAGAATTAAATAAAACTGCAATTTATGTTGATGAGTTTCTCACCAAAGATGGAATTGAATTACACGAAGAACTGCTTAAGATAGATAAACAGAATTTTCATACCAGCTATATCAGTGGACCTTGGTTTGATATGTATCTACGTGACCGTAAACCTATACCCATTAATTACAATCCCTTCTTGGTACTTGAACCAACATCTGATCCAAATTATAACACACAATTAGTAAAAGCAACAAATCTAGTTATATCATCATTGAGATTTATGAAATCATTGAAAGAGAACGTGTTAAGGCCAGAAGTATTTTATTTAAATCCTGAAACTTCTAATAACAAGCTATATCATATGGTTACAAGATTACTGCCATCTCAATATAATTGTTATGGATCTTATTTGTTTAAGGTGAGATAATACTTTTGCTAGTAAAAATCAAAACTACTGTTTCAGAAAATCTAATCTAACCATTGATTCTATTGTTTTGAAAAGAAAAAAAAATATTATTTTAGGCTTATCCACTGGATATGTCTCAATATCACCATCTGTTTAATACAACAAGATTACCAAAAACAACAAAAGATGAAATTTATCAAGACATATCTGGAAAACACATAATTGTAATGAGAAACGGTCATTTCTATTGTTTGGATGTAATAGATGAAAATGGGTACATTCATGAACCAAAGACAATAGCAGCTTGCTTGAAGTCTATATTGGAAAACAAAGTAACAAACAATGAATCTCCTACTGGAATACTTACAACATCAGAACGTAACATATGGGCTGATACAAGAACATATTTGTCTCAAATTGGTAATCAAGAAATTTTACAAAAAATAGATTCTGCTATATTTATGATGGCATTGGATGACATCAATATTGGCACTAATTATAATAAACTAATTGAAACATATCTCCATGCGGATGGAACAAACAGGTGGTTTGATAAATCATTTTCTCTAATTGTTACACAGGATGGATATGCTGGAATAAACTTCGAGCATTCGTGGGGAGATGGGGTAGCTGTATTAAGGTTTCTTAAGGTAAATAATGTAAAAACCTAATTAACAAACAATTCGATACTACGTTAGTTTTTTTTGTAGGATGTAAACGATGATATAACTAAACGACCAAAATTCCATCCTGATGATGTTAATCATCTTGAAAACGGTGCACCGAACGTTAAAAAACTTGAATTTATTATCGACAATAAAGTACAAGATATTATTCGCGCAGAGAAAAAACGATTTAAAACGTGGACTAAAGAACTTAGTATTGATCATATGATATTCAATGAATTTGGTAAAACTCAATGTAAACAATTTGGTGTAAGTCCAGATGCAATTATGCAATTGGCTTTCCAACTAGCTTTATATTATCAAAAAAATTGTGCAGTACCAACATATGAATCATGTAGTACATCTGCATTTAAACACGGTCGAACGGAAACTCTAAGGTCTTGTACAATGGAAACTAAAACAACATGTGAAGCCATAGTTCGAAAAAATAGCAATTTGTCTATGTTTGAACTGAAAGAGTTAATAATGAATTGTAGCAAAGTACATAATAAACTAACTAAAGAAGCTGTTATGGGTAATTATGTGATTATTAAATTTTGTAAACACATATTTGTTATAAATTCTTTATGATTTTTTACAGGACAAGGATTTGATAGACATTTATTTGCATTAAAACATATTTCAGAGCGTTCAAATGCTCGAAAACCAGCTATTTTTGCGGATCCAGCATATGAAAATATAAATCATAATATTTTGTCTACGTCTACTCTTTCAGATCCAGCTATATGCGCTGGTGGATTTGGACCAGCAGTAAATAATGGATACGGAATTGGGTAAAGTACACGTTCTCTTTATTATTTTTACAAACGCACTGTTTACAATCCACTACTATAATAATCATTGTAAGGTAATTTGCCCATATCAACTGATTTGATTTACAGATACATGATCCAAGATGAAAGACTGGGTGCCGTTGTGACATGTTATAAAAATAATTGTAACGTGAACGAATATGTAAATTGCTTGAAGCAGGCATTTGAAAGTATTCATCAAATAATGGTCCACAAAAAATGACACTTTCATGTGTATATACTCGATATACGAGTAATATTACATTAAGCTCTATGGTTAACAGTATATATATAAACGTACAGACGTTTACAAGAATCTCTAATATTGATGATTATATGTATCATCATATGTTGAATTTTTATACAACTTTAATCCAAATAATTTGTTATTATTGTCAAAGAAATAAAGAACTATTTCTCTTATTTTATATTGTAAAGCGAATTCAATTGATAAATAACATCAATATATATTTTACATGTATGTCATATAACATATGCAAATAAGTGTAATACAGTATCATATATATTAATGTAACATTTAAGTTTTAATGAAAAGAAGAAACATTTATGTACAGTAGATGCATTCGAAATAGAGCGCTATAACGCACTCAGAATACCATAAACTAGAGACTGTATTACATCAATAAGTTTTATCTCACTAAATATAGCCATTTATGCACACGATCAATACACAAAGTTAACAGGTTTAATAACTATTCAAATCAGAACCTACTTGTCCCAAAATTACACCTATTCAAAATAAAGATAACATACTGACCTTACACAATTAAATAGTTTCTTACATTGGTGTAAATAACAAAAATTATTTCACGTTTTCGTGTATTTATTTTTTTGCCGCAATTACTAAGTATGGAATGAAATGTTGTAATTCCAAAAATACTTTATGGTTGTTCATGGCATGGTATTTTATCCTAAATTTATACTTTATCTCCCATTTTTACTTTAGATGTCTATAAACCCAAAAGAATTTATTAATGTTCTGAGATATAAAAGAGAAGATATTCTTGAAAAACTTACCATATAAATTCCAACAATTAATCCAAAAAGTCCAATAGCAGACCCAAAGATTTCAATTATAAGAATCTTAACAAAAAGTGCAGAATTGGCTGCATCGGCAAGAGCAGCTCCAGAACCAACAATACCAACAGCAATACCACAAAACAAATTGACTAGACCAACAGCTAAACCAGCTCCAAACATTAAATATCCAGCTAACCAATTCTGATTGCGAATCTGAAACCCTGTTGGATCATTCATAGCAGCTTTTTCATAACTAAATGCTTCTAACATTCCAGATAACACAATGGCTGTGATCAGACCATAAATGGCCACAGCTTCACAAAATATTACAGATATTAAATTTTTTGTCTTAATTCGTGGTGCTTTCACACCACCTCCAACTATCGAAACTCCTGCTGTATGAATTCCCCTAAAATAATTTGATGTTCATTTTTTTTTTAATACATAGAAAAGTTATAATTATTTGCCAAAAATTAACACTTACAATGCAGCACCAACTACAGATAACGCAACTGCAAGTCCAATACCCAGACATGCCCACATGTATGGAGAAGTATGTTCTAAAAACCTATTAGTACATTTTCACAATGACTCTGTTTTGTATATCTAGGTACTTATAATTATAATTTTTAAACAAATAAAAGATCAAATTTTTTACTTACCACCCAACGCTTACACGTTCTCCTTTTCCAGTAAATACATGATATAATACTGTAACAAAATATTAAAAAATATACATTTTTGCAGAGGTGAAGAATATGATCATAATTAACCTCTTATCAAGGATATTCACAACTGATTTCTCTGATTGATTGAACTGATTTCTATTTCGATATTTGATTTTATTTAACGAGGAATAAATAAAAATCGATTAATACCTAATATGATAATAGTTGCGGAAGCAGTGCCCACAAAAGTGTTGCCCAAAATGTACCTCATAGTGCTTTCAGTTTCGTCGTTACGTGTGCGTCTTAAAACAAATATAGAGACATTAACAAATAATCAACTATGACTTTAAAACATAAGCTGACAACTAATCTTTACAACTTTTTCACACAAAATCATTCTACGTACAAATTAAGAGAAAAGCGCTCACACCCGTCTCTATCATGTGACGTCTAGCAATCTTTATGCTTATATACGCTAGTGACATCAATCGTAAAAAACTGGTATTAACAATAAAGTTTTCAAACTTTGATTTATAGCAAGGTGCTCCAAATTTTGCACTTGCTCCGATTTAAAATGACACATGTACATATATATACATTCTACATGTATATTGCCTATAATATAAATGTTTCAAGATATTTAAAAAATTTAATTGTTTGAATTATATTGCAATTAAACATTATATTTTTAAAAAACTGTTAATGATAAGTTTACAAGAATTATAATATTGCCCCGTTATTTTAAAAAAAATTGTCAAATTTAAAATATAGCACATGCGACAAACATGTATCGTAGTACAATCTAACATCTAATTTTAGAATTCGTCACAGTTCATTCGTCTCTTGTATCAACGACAACGTACAATTGTTAAAGTAATACTTTATGTTATTAAATAATTAGTCAGACTTTAATAAATCATGTCTATTATTGAAAGGTAAGTAATCAAATTGTTTACGGTTATGAAAGTAATGAGATTGTTGAAATTATCGTACGCGGTAAATTATTAAAAATTTTCGAATTGTACAACTTAAATATTATCTACATAAAATAGTATTGCTACACGTTCCGTGAAAATGGATAACTGAATGCTTGAACTAATTCAATGCTCAATTAAATTATACAGATAAATTTAGAAATCTAAATTAAAGTTTGTCGACTGGACTGAAGTTGCGCGACAACGAATTAAATTCATTTCCTCATATATCGAATCACAAGTGTTTAAATTCTTCACAGGTATTCAAAATTTGACCAATTTTTTAAGACCGCTTACGATGCTGCAATTGCAGAACCGTATGCGAAACGTTTCAAAGAAGCATCTGCGAATGCAAATAGAGAAGAAATGATAAAGATTCTTATAGACATACCGTGCGTAAAAAATCTAAAAATTTTCAAATCATACATGGGTAAGGATGATGTTAAGGCAGAAAAATTATATAAGAAAAGTCGTGAAACGGTTATAAAGGATGGAGTTGTGCACGAAGAAGAAAATAGAATTAGTATCCTTACTGAAACACTGTTTACAGCCAGTGTAACTAGTAGATTGTTCCTGGATGCGCTTTTAGATTGCGCACAATACTGGTATAATTCGAATGCTTTTGCAAAATGCTTAAAATATTGTGAATGCATGCTTGCTCTTCCTGCAAACTTTTATGATAGAACGATTGAAAGTATGAACGATTTTTTGGAGCATAGAAAAGCATGCGTCGATTTAGAATATAAATGCTCTGAAAAGTTGAAAGTCTCGTCTTCTCAGGGCAAGAAACAGCGTAGGAAATGCAACACAAATCAATGCGTGTCTTTGGAAAACGCATCGTCTGCAAACCGTGTGACAGCGATACCTTCCATTGACGGAAAACAGCATGCTATGCTTGAAAGTTGTTCAGATGCAGTGACTCTACAATTTGACGAGAAACGTGGTCGACACCTCGTAGCGACCAGAAACATTAAAGCAGGATACATTCTTATCGTAGAATCACCGTTTGCTTTCAGCACGAACAACGAGGCATTCGACAGAAATTGTTTAAATTGTCATGTTACTCTCAAGTTGAACGATAGCGTTAAAATTCCTTGCTACTTTTGTCGAACAGTTAGTAAAACGAATAATTTTTTTTCTATCGTTTTATATTCATACTTATATTTATTTCTGTTTTATTATTTCATTTAACAAACTCTTTATTATCTCGTTACTTGTAAACTATGAATAACGTTTGTACTTCTACAGGTGTCTTTCTGTTCAGAAAAGTGTCGCAACGAAGCATGGAAATTGTACCATCGATACGAGTGTTCTATATTCGACATTTTCTGCGGCAACGATTCTGAACAACCGCAACGGCAATCTTCGTACCTGCTTTTAGCTTATAGAATGACAATCGCAGGATGTTTGCTTTCAAATACTGATAAAGTTAATAACATGGATAAAACAGAAATTCCAGTCCTAAACGATAACTTTCTTCGGTATCACGGAACAAACACGAATCAAGAATGCAGCGACTTAGGAATAAATGAAGTTTATAGTCCTCGCGATTATCGTACTATATTAAAATTAAAAACTCATTGCGAAAAGATAGAACCTAACATTAATCTGATTCGTGCTATCGAAGCAATATTTTTAACAAAGTGTTTTACTTTTGTCTTGAGTAAAATGGACGTTGTTTGCTTAAAAGAAACCTTTATCTCTTTGGCTGTAGCGATGCTGCATCATTTACAGGCTATTAATTGTAATGCTTACGAGATCGTAGAAAATTTATACGATAAAAAAGCGCACGTTTGGGAACCAAGATACGTGGGTGGGGCAATTTATCCTTCTGTTAGCCTGGTAAATCACAGTTGTTATCCAAACGTTGTTCGTCATTCTTATCCATCAGGTAAAAAACGTATATGTACAAACGATGCTGTTCAACATTCTTTGAGAAAATAACTTAAATAACTTTCCACAGGAGTGGTAGTGGTAAGAAGTTTACGCTTTATCGGTAAAGGAACCGAAATTGTTGATTGTTATGGACCGCACTGGCTCAGCGAAGGAAGATTACCGAGACGCGAGTACTTGTGGAAAAAGTATCGTTTTCTGTGTGCATGCGAAGCTTGTACACAAAATTGGCAATACCCATTACCTGAAACAATAAATTATAAATGCAGGGCATGTTTAGAAGTTACTGACATATTCGGTTCAAATGAAAAGGATACACAAAATATATCAATTAAGAAATGCCACAAATGTAACGGAAAAATTGATTGCAAGAAAATCAAAAATCAATTTCGAAAATCGGTTGAGAAAAGATTAAACGCTATATCTAAAATGTATGAAGGCCGTTATGAACAGGCTTTGCCTCAATTGTTTGAGCACATACAGTTTATTGAGAAGTTCTTTGCTACACCCAACATTGAAACTATCAAAACACAACAATGTATCATTCAATGTTACAATCAGTTTGGCTGTATCTCTCAATAACAATAAGTCAACAAAAGTATCGAAATGTGTACACATTTATAATTACATATATAATATAGATGTGTACACACATACATATTTATCATGTATACGAATGTGGGTGTGTACAATATACACATGTGCGTACACACACGTACATACAAATGAGTTAAAATTTGTATCACGAGTACCAAAAAACAAAAACTTATATCCAGTATCGGGTACTATACATTTTTCAATTTTTTCATGCAGTGCAAAAATGCTGTAAAAAATTACAAATTGCCCTGCATTCGCGGTGGTTTACACTTGTTTTTACGTTTTACGATTGTTTTAAATGTGAAAAGAACATTCGCATTAATTTAATAAGGCTTTTGACGTAGAATTGTGGCATGAGCACCATTATTATTAGTAGTAATACCTCAATTGCTCGATATCAATGATTACTATAAATGCACGTGTTACGGTATCGTGTTCTTTCATACTTATAAAATGAAACTAAAAGATCTTAGATCTTAAAATTGTTGTTGTAAACACTGTTTGCATGTAAAGTATAAACTGCACAAAGTAGCTTGACATACACGTGATTTCATCTGCCGGTTTAGCTACTAAATCACCAAAATGTCTAAATTGAACTAGAAACTGATGATGTGAGTAATGAACAAGCTCAGTTACCACATGTGCGTCTCTCGAATTTCGCTAATTATGTGACCAGCTTGCGTTAGTGCCTGCAACACGATCGAACACACGTATGTCAATATTTATAAACTATTTAAATATTTCCTGTACGTAAAGAAAAATGATTATTTTTGTAGGTATACCTTTAACATATTTGCTGCTTCTTTACGCCTAACAGCAACGTGTTCACTCTCGTTTAAGAGAACCTCGGCGTGATCTGACTTATATAGATGCGTTACGAGTTCGCTTTGTAAGTTATCTTTTACATAGTTGACTAGGAAATGCATGACAGCTTTTGGAACGCTATCTTGTATAGATTTTCGTACGATATAAAAGTATGATTTTATTAGTCTTTCTACAATGAAAAAAGGATTTATATAAATAGATGAAATAAACTATTGATTTTACGAGTAAACCTAAAATGTTTTTATTCATACCAATCACATCACAGTCTCGTTGTTCCCGTTCGCTAAGTTTGCGAGATGTTTGCATTGGTACCTCTGGCAGTAGATTTACTGGTTTTTGTTGCGAGGATGTTTTTATTCCTTCGATCATTGGATTTGGACTTTGATTTGGATGAGGAGAAGTACTGAGCTCGTGATTCCTCACCGGAGAACCATCAATTGAACTATTTGATTCGGTTCGTCCATGAGGCAACAAGTTACTTAACAACCAATGATTTTGATGCCCTTGCTGATCTTTATTCTGCTCGGAAAAAGATGCTACTTCGTCTTGATTGTTAACTGACTTTACGTTCTGTTAGAGACATTTTATATGTTTAGTTACACGGTACAGTGGACGAAACAATACATAGATGTAAACATTAAAATGTTTAAAATGAAATTATTTATAAGGACATAGTAAGGAAACAGATTCACACAACTTCAAATAATAATTAGTAACTTGGTATACTTCAATAGTTACTTACTGTATCATTTGTAATTATAGTACTCGGTGCAGTTGTAGTAGAAGGTAATCTTCTACTCTGTTTTACATGATCTACATCAGAAGCTTTCAATAAGGATGATACAAGAGCTGCATCTTTATGAAAATCTGGATGCTTGGTATTAATATATGCCAGTTCTATAGCGACTAAATTTTCAACCATATGATTAGTAGGTGGGAGACGTCGACGTAACAAGTGCGTAACAACGTCGACGATTCGTTCGTGTAATTTTGGAAAACGTAACATCTCCTGTTGTACCTCTGTGCCACAATGTTGTATGATCCTTTGCATTTCTTCGTGTACGAGTTCTACGCATCGTAAAGAAGGTTCCTCGAGTCTACGAATTTGTCGTTTAACCAATAATTCGAATGAAACTTCGGGTACAAATAGAGCAGGTCTTGGACCAGTTGCATTTCGAATAGCTGTTAAAATGTCCATCTTTGTCAGACCCGCCAGCGGGTGTATAGAATCTAATGTTTTTCCAAATGTTTCATGAAATATATAACAAATTCGAGCACCGCCACACAACTCTGTTGTTTCTATATTTCTAGCTGTTCCTTCGATCGTGGAACAATAACTACTCGCAAATTTAGTAATGATCTGAAGTAAAGTTTGGCTCTTGTCACCAACATCTTCACCATATGAATTTAGTAGAGTTTGAAATTGTGATACCATCACATTTATTCGTGTCTGTTTTCAAAAAATATAAGTTCTACCAAATTATGTTTATTTTAGTTACTTTTAACTATATATTATAAGTTATTACTACTCATGATTCAAATTATTACCTTTAGATCTGGAAGGCAATCTCGAATGTGATGCATGAGTAAACGATTTAAAGTTTTAGCTAAATAAGGTGTTCCATTTCTGTTTGCTAAGGTAGGGTATTTACGTTGTAAAAATGTAGCTTCATCCTTTAATGCATCTTGAATAGTTTTGTTATTCATTATATCTTGTTGGGAACGATTAACTACTCCAATAATTCCCAATTTTACTGGTATTACTCTACCACACAGTATGTCTATGGCATCAGTTCCTAAAATGATATATGTGAATTTTATAATTCATTGAAATAAATTAATGATGTTAAATAATAAAAATTACCAGCATCCATAAGATCTAATTTTGTCACAACTGCTAAAGTACGTCTGCCATCTGGATCAACATCTTTGCTAAGTTTTAAACTTTCACTCGTAGCCATATCTGTATTCGCAGTAACAACAGCTAATATAATAGAATTAGGATTACATATATACTTCAATACAAGTTGACGTATTTGACTCTCAATATCTTCAGGTTGATCACCAACTGGTACTTTTGTAATACCAGGGAGATCTATAAGTGTTAAATTAACAACCGATGTTGAGTAAATCTTTAAGTTAATCGGCTCTGGGCAAATTCCTTTATTAGTCCCAGCCATACGATCTGTTTCAGATTCTATTTCTTTGCGAATTTCATCAAAATCTGTATATATTTTATTTCTTTTATGTAAAAATGTGCCCCATTCTTCCAGATCTAATGTACCATTTTCTGCAGTTCGATGATCACGATCGTCTTTAGGTGTATAAACAAGTTGCAATATCAAAGGCCTTCTGGTTACAATACCAGTACCTCGTGGTAAAAAGGACCGACCAACTAAACTTTCGATTACAGATGATTTTCCAGAACTCTAGAAGAAAATTTCATATTTATTTTGAAAAATCAAAACATTTGTGTAAAATGTAGATTTATGATACGTTAAAAAATATCTTATATCATAATAAGCATTTATCATGTAATGCCTTATTATCATCAATTATTATATATTACTCTATTACAAAAATAACTTGTTTAAAATCGAAATAAATTATTCATAATTTATATATAAGTAAACGAATGTAAGAAATGGAATAACATATATTATTGGATAATTCAGGTGCGTTTATTTATCTACTGAAAAAAAAAATTTGAACTTATACCGAAATCTCAAAGGTGCAAATATCTTTAAGTTATTAATTCAAAAATATCAACTGACCTGTGTACCTAATACCACAATTTGTGGTAATTGAATAGCATCAGCACCAACAGTATTAAATACATCCTGTAATTTATTTATTACGGGTATCAATGCTTCCATTTTAAAGGAATAAACGGAAAGTAAATCGATCGAGACAGTTACGCGGTACGAGCCGGTGTAAAATGTTCTTTAATTGCAGGTATAGCTGTAATTACATGCGTAATTAGTAGTACTAAAAGTTTTTTTTCAAAACTTATAACTCTTTACAAATGTTATTACTTTTGATAGTAATATTTAATGTACTAAAATTTCGAATAAAATCACTACAAGAATTCTGCACCTGCTGTTCTCATCTACCCTTTCCTTGTTCCATAGTTCATATGCGTGCGCATTATATGTGCTAACTTACACCTATATGCCATATATATCGATGCATATATACAGACGAAGTAGTGTAGCCACTTCAAATTGCATACTTAAAGTAACGTTTCTATTACAGAATTACAAAAAGTTGTCTTTAATAACTAAAATAATCTCAAAATAATTATTTGAATCGAAAACCATAAAACTATATGCAATTATTGTACAAGATATAAAGTGACATATGTAGAATTCATGTGACTGCAATTTAACTGAAGAAGCATGAAAACTAGCCAAAGTGATTGATAAAATAGGGAGCAAAGAAATAGCGTTATCTTTTGCGAATCGTTAAGTTTGCAAGTACTCGTGTGCTGTAGTCTATGCCTATTATAGGTCGTCATCGACTGTGTGACAGCTCATCCAAGAGCGGGGATCGGCCGATCACCCGCTCAAAATCTGAAAAATTTTGTGATACTGATTAACGTGGGATGGGTGATTCCTTGGACAGCTCCGGGGATCCATCCCCGGAGTCTCAGATTATTATAGTCGTAGATTATTGGGCGTTTGCTAATTATTTGAAAAAGATCGTAACGGTCCTTCTACCTGATGAAGATGTGGTACAATCCCCATTCGATTCCGCTCTTGAAAATACAACCAATCAAGAATGTATAAAAAAATTCTTAAGTGACCCACAAGTATGGGCTCTTTCTATACAGAGGAGTGCTACTAAAGGTATGTGAATTGATTTGGTATATATCTATTAATTTGATATTAAGAATTTTGCACTCTGCCCTTCTGTGATATCCTCCATTGCAGTCTTTCGATACAACGGTACATTAAGCCGCAACAGGAAACGTATCCTGAAAATTAATGCGACGTTTGTCGTTGCATTTAAATTTCTTTAAGATATGACTCACTCTCAAATATAATCGATAAATGTAATAACGTTTTTATTACGTTATTTTTCGTTTATACTTCTCATTTATACATTAATTCATTGCGAATATGTGCCGGTATGCTGTATATTATATTGGTTACATATTTATCTTCATGTTCATAAAATTTTATTATTTGGTATTAGTAAATTGAAATGACAAAATAAATAACATCATGCATGACCTATTTTGAACTGCATTAGCAGAGAATAATCTAGCGAATGTAATAAAAAGGAATATTTAGTTTTGATTTTTTTTTTTTTTATTAACCATTTGTTATATTTTGATTTATTATTTTTTAGAGGAAGATAACAATGAAGCTGATGAAGAAAAAGAAAATGTTGTTTTCTATATTTCGAATGAAATACATTTCACTAGTCCAAAAATGGCCTCCTTAGTTTTAACAAAACGTGCAGCAGTAGTCGAAGCTGATAAGAGTATCCATTCACAGTTACATTTAGTTACTTTCTCTGATGGACCACCATATGAAACATTGCATGCAATAAGTAAAACTATGGCTCCATATTTTAAAAGCTATGTGAAAGAAACAGGTCGTGCAGATAGAGATGGTGATAAAATGGCACCATCTGTAGAAAAGAAAATAGCGGAATTAGAAATGGGTTTATTGCATTTGCAACAAAATATAGATATACCCGAAATTTCATTACAAATTCATCCTGTCGTTGCACAAGTAATTAAACAATGTGCAGAAGAAAATCGTAAACCCAAAGTTGCCGACTTTGGTGATAAGGTTGAAGATTCGACATTTCTGAATCAATTACAAAATGGTGTCAATAGATGGATAAAGGAAATTCAAAAGGTAAATATTTTGTATTTTTACTTTTATTTGTGCAATATTGTTGTTTTTAATTCTTATGCAGGTTACCAAACTAAATCGTGACCCAGAATCAGGTACTGCTCTGCAAGAAATTTCCTTCTGGCTAAATTTAGAAAGAGCATTACATCGAATACAAGAAAAACGAGAGAGCATAGAAATATCTTTGACTCTTGATATACTTAAGCATGGAAAAAGATTCCATGCAACTGTTAGCTTTGACACAGATACTGGCCTACAGCAAGCTTTAGCTACTGTCAATGATTATAACCCATTGATGAAAGATTTTCCAATCAATGATTTATTATCAGCTACAGAACTTAGGAGAATACGTACCAGTGTTAACAAAATTTTTATGCACCTGAGAAAAATAAGAAGCACAAAATATCCTATTCAGAGGGTATTAAGATTGATAGAAGCTATTTCCAGAGATTTGGGACAACAACTTCTTAAGGTGCTAGGCACAAGAAGATTGATGCACATTCCATTTAATGAATTTGAAAAAGTTATGAGCCAGTGTTTTGAAGTATTTAATACCTGGGATGACGAGTATGAAAAATTAACTGGACTGTTAAGAGATATCGTTAAGAAAAAACGTGATGAACACATGAAAATGGTATGGAGGGTTTCACCAGCACATAAAAAATTACAAACCAAAATGGAACATATGCGACACTTCCGTCGACAACATGAACAATTGAGAACAGTTATTGTTCGCGTACTTAGACCTACTGTTCGACAAAATAATAATAATGCTACAATAGAGAATCCAGATAATGATAATGTGAAAGTTGAATTTGCTTTAGATACAGCGGATACAAACACTATCAGCGAAGTGAATTTAGCATACGAGAATGTAAAAGAGATAGATTGTCTTGATATTACTAAAGAAGGTCTAGAATCTTGGAAAGCTGCTGTTCATAGGTATGAAGAACGTATTGAAAGAGTCGAAGCAAGAATTACAGCACATCTCCGAGATCAGTTGGGTACAGCAAAAAATGCTAATGAAATGTTCAGAATTTTTTCTCGTTTTAATGCACTTTTCGTAAGACCGCATATTCGAGGGGCTATCAGAGAGTATCAGACACAGTTGATTCAAAGAGTAAAAGATGATATTGAAGCTCTACATGAAAAATTTAAAGTATGTTCCACTATTTTTAATTTCGATTAATGATTGAGCTAATAATTAAAGAAACAATAGTTAATGGTATTATTAATCCAGGTCCAATATGCACAAAGTAAATGCTGCAAGATGAGTACAGTTAGAGATTTACCACCTGTTACCGGTTCTATTCTTTGGGTTAAACAAATAGATTATCAACTTAAAATGTACTTAAAACGCGTTGAAGACGTTCTAGGTAAATACGAAAACGTGAACTTTTTAATAAATTTTTATGGATCGTTCATTTAATTTTATTTTGTAGGCAAAGGATGGGAAAGTCATATCGAAGGTCAAAAATTGAAAGCGGATGGAGATAGTTTCCGCATGAAATTATCGACTCAGGAAATTTTCGATGAATGGGCGCGTAAAGTACAACAAAGAAATCTAGGCGTCACCGGGAGGATTTTTACAATAGATAATGTTCGATCACGAACAGGCCGTGGCAATGTACTAAAACTGAAAGTGAATTTCCTTCCTGAAATTATCACGTTGTCAAAGGAAGTAAGAAATCTGAGAAATTTTGGTTTCCGTGTACCACTTCCAATTGTGAATAAAGCGCACCAGGCCAATCAGTTATATCCATTTGCGATAAGTCTAATTGAGAGCATCAGAACTTACGAAAGAACATTGGAGAAGGTAATATTTTGTTATATTTACTAATTTCTGATTATATTATTTCAAAAATTGGTATAACATTTTTAAAGAAATTTTATTTCATTACGTGTTACGACTATTTTTTATAACGTAAACGATTAAAAATTTTTAAAGCACGAATGAGGGATTAGATATGATAGGGAATAGAGCCAGGTTAAAGGTACATATTAGTAATCCTCATATTTCTAATTCCTTGGATCTCCAATATTTTTAGCTTACCAATCGGAGTCCTCACTGCCCCGCACTAAAGGTAGTCATGTATGATGCTTTCAGGAGTTATGCATCTTGCCTATATTTGCAAATTATTATTGTATGCCTGCTTAGCTCTTGTAGAAACATGTGTACTGCAAGATGACAACATTTTATTTTAGTACATTAAACGGTTGAACAGAAATTAGTATAAGATCAATAACGGTATGAGTAGGAAAATTGTAAGGATGTGCGGGAATTCTTTGAATATCTGGGATCCTTCTCTCTTATTATGATATATCAAAATTTATATGATATATTTTTTGGAGATTTTAAAATTGTTTAATTCTAGTAATTTTATAGAAATCTGAAAAATTATCTCTCAGAGTCCGCACATTCAAAAGTTGCTTGTATTTGATATGATAACATTTCATAATTCTTCTTTTCTGTAATACTTCAGATACAAATAAAAATTGTCGTATGATTTCTTAGCATTCGCTATGAATATGTAAAATTTTTGTTTGCATTTTTTGACTGTATATGATTGAATGATAAGTCGTAATTTATGTCGTAAAATTGTATCGATATCGTAAAATCTATAATTCTTCTTAGTTATACTCCATAATTTATTCTTTTCTTAGATCGAAGATAAGCCCAGTATCATACCTTTGGTTGCTGGAATGCGTAATGATGTCTTATCGCTTATTTCCGAAGTAAGTTTCCGAACATACGTTGATCATTATTAGAAAATTCTGTTTATTTTAATGCGTCACTGTTTTTGAATTTAGGGAATTGCTCTGATTTGGGAAAGTTATAAACTGGATCAATACGTGCAACGTCTGTCCGATGCTGTTGTCTCTTTTCAAGAAAACGTAGAAGATCTCGTGGTGGTTGAAGAACAATTAGACGTCGACGTTCGGTCTCTTGAAACATGTCCATATTCGGCAAATACATTTGCTGATATACTTTCTAAAATTCAGAAGTCTGTAGATGAATTATCCTTGAAAAATTACTCGAACTTAACGATATGGGTGTCTAGACTCAATGAAGAAGTGGAAAAGAATTTAGCAGCTAGATTAGAAGCTGGAATAAAAGCTTGGACCAATGCACTTACTGGTCAAAAGAAAGAAGTGGATGTAAGTATGGATACCGATGCACCGTCTCAGCCCACTCATAAACCTGGTGGTGATCCAAATATTCAGAATCAAATTCATGAAGTTCGCATAACGAATCAAACAATGTACTTGTATCCAAGTATCGAAGATGCAAGATTCCAAATAATGCAACAATTATTTGCGTGGCAAGCTATTGTTACCTCCCAAGTTCGACTTCAAAGTTCACGGTATCAAGTAGGTTTAGATAAACTTGAGTCGGGTACTTACAGAAATTTACTTACAAAGTTACCTAGTGGAAAACAGCCTTTGGAAGCAGCATACGAAGCGGTTGAATCTAAAATGAAAGATGTAGCCGATTACGTGGATCAATGGTTGCGTTATCAAGCTCTATGGGACTTACAACCGGATAATTTATATGGAAAATTAGGAGAAAATATCAACTTGTGGATGAAGTGTCTAAATGATATTAAAAAAAGCAGAACTACTTTCGATACATCGGACACTAGACGTGAATTTGGTCCTGTTATTATCGATTTTGCAAAAGTGCAAAGTAAAGTATCTTTGAAATATGATTCATGGCACAAAGAAACTTTGGGTAAATTCGGAACACTTCTTGGCAACGAAATGGCAAGTTTCCATGTACAAGTATCGAAATCCAGAAGCGATTTAGAACAGCAATCCATCGAAGCTGCCAGTACTTCAGATGCAGTTGGATTTATAACATATGTTCAATCTTTGAAACGTAAAATGAAAGCTTGGGAGAAACAAGTTGACATATATCGCGAGGGTCAAAGAATATTGGAGCGGCAGAGATTCCAGTTTCCATCGTCGTGGCTGCACGTGGATAACATAGAAGGTGAATGGGGTGCATTTAATGAAATAATTAAGAGAAAAGACACTAGTATACAAACACAAGTTGCTTCGCTGCAAATGAAAATTGTTGCGGAAGATAAAGCAGTTGAAATAAGAACTAACGATTTTCTAAGCGATTGGGAAAGGGGCAAGCCAGTCGAGGGCCATTTACGGCCAGACGATGCATTACAACAGTTGCAATTGTTTGAGAGTAAGTTTGCTAGATTGAAAGAAGAAAGGGACAACGTAGCAAAAGCTAAGGAAGCTTTAGAATTGCAAGAACCGGGTGGAGTATCAACTACCGAAGATAGAATGCAAGTGGTGTTCGAAGAACTTCAAGATTTAAGAGGAGTTTGGTCAGAATTATCAAGGATATGGGCACAGATAGATGAAACTCGAGAAAAACCTTGGTTATCCGTTCAGCCAAGAAAATTACGTCAACAGCTAGATACAATGATGGCCCAATTGAAAGAATTACCAGCTAGACTGAGACAATATTCTTCGTACGAATATGTTAAAAAGATGTTACAAAGTTACACGAAAGTCAATATGTTAATTGTAGAGTTAAAATCTGATGCTTTGAAGGAGAGGCATTGGAAACAATTAACAAAGCAACTTCGAGTAAACTGGGTACTAAGTGAACTTACTCTTGGTCAAGTTTGGGATGTAAATCTACAGAAAAACGAAGGAATAGTAAAAGACATTATTCTTGTTGCTCAAGGTGAAATGGCACTTGAAGAATTCTTAAAACAGGTTCGAGAATCTTGGCAAACGTACGAACTGGATTTGATCAATTACCAAAATAAGTGTAGATTGATTCGTGGTTGGGATGATCTATTTAACAAGGTTAAAGAGCACATTAATTCTGTCGCCGCTATGAAACTCTCACCTTACTATAAAGTATTTGAAGAAGAGGCATTAACATGGGAAGAAAAATTAAACAGAATCAATGCATTATTCGACGTATGGATAGATGTTCAGAGGCGATGGGTTTATCTGGAAGGTATTTTTTCAGGAAGCGCTGACATTAAAACGTTACTACCCGTTGAAACATCTCGTTTCCAAAGTATCAGTTCAGAGTTTTTGGGTTTAATGAAAAAGGTATCGAAATCCCCGATGGTGATGGACGTTTTAAATATTCCTGGTGTGCAGAGAGCACTCGAACGATTAGCAGATTTACTTGGAAAGATCCAGAAAGCCTTGGGAGAGTATCTTGAGAGAGAACGTACATCGTTCCCACGATTCTATTTCGTGGGAGATGAAGATTTATTAGAAATAATTGGTAACAGTAAAAATATTGCAAGACTACAAAAACACTTTAAAAAGATGTTTGCTGGTGTAGCAGCTATACTTTTGAACGAAGATAATACTGTTATTACTGGAATAGCTTCTCGCGAAGGAGAAGAGGTACTTTTCCAAACCCCTGTATCTACCGTTGATCACCCAAAAATTAATGAATGGTTGACTCTCGTAGAAAAAGAAATGAGAGTCACGTTGGCGTCGAGTCTTGCAAGAGCGGTACAAGATATCAAACAGTTCAAAGACGGAAATATTAATCCGCAAGCGTTTATGACATGGTGCGATAACTATCAGGCACAAATTATAGTTTTAGCTGCTCAGATTCTATGGTCAGAAGACGTTGAAGCTGCTTTACACGAAGCACAAAACGATCCAAGTAAGAGTCCCTTAGAAAGAGTGTTATTACAAGTCGAAGGTACATTAAACGTTTTAGCAGACTCTGTTCTACAAGAACAGCCTCCTTTGAGAAGGAAAAAGCTAGAACATTTAATTAACGAATTTGTACATAAACGCACAGTAACGAGAAGATTAATTGCGAACAAAGTTTCTAATCCAAAAGCATTTGAATGGCTATGCGAAATGAGATTCTATTTTGACCCAAGACAAACAGAAGTTTTACAACAACTTACGATACACATGGCAAACGCCAAGTTCTTTTACGGATTCGAATACTTAGGAGTACAAGATAGATTAGTTCAAACACCGTTGACCGATAGGTGCTACTTAACGATGACTCAGGCCTTAGAAGCTCGTCTCGGTGGTTCTCCATTTGGACCAGCTGGTACAGGAAAAACTGAGTCAGTGAAAGCTTTGGGTCATCAATTGGGAAGATTTGTGTTGGTATTTAATTGCGATGAAACGTTCGACTTTCAGGTAAATGATACGTAATAATTATGAAGATATGAGACAAGAAAAAGAATGTATATTTTATAATATTCGCTAATGTATTTTGTTAGGCTATGGGTCGTATATTTGTTGGGCTTTGTCAAGTCGGAGCATGGGGCTGCTTCGACGAATTTAATCGTCTGGAAGAGCGTATGCTTTCGGCTGTTTCTCAACAAGTGCAAACCATTCAAGAAGCATTAAAGAGTCAAATGGAAGGAAAGAAGGAAGGAACGCTTTGCGTAGAGCTGGTTGGAAAACAAGTAAAAGTATCGACGGACATGGCGATATTTATTACCATGAATCCAGGTTATGCCGGACGATCGAACCTTCCCGATAATTTGAAGAAACTCTTTAGATCTTTGGCTATGACAACTCCTGATAGACAGTTAATTGCTGAAGTTATGCTCTTTAGTCAAGGATTCCGATCCGCCGAGAAACTAGCTTGCAAAATTGTGCCATTTTTCAAGTAAGTTTCTCACATTTATTTACGTTTTATATTTATTTGTATTAAAACTTAATGTCATTACAGATTATGTGACGAACAACTTTCCAATCAATCTCATTATGACTTCGGTCTTCGAGCACTTAAATCCGTGCTGATATCTGCTGGTAATGTAAAACGTGATCGTATTCAAAAAATAAAGGAAGGTATGCAAAATCGTGGCGAAACTAACATCGACGAAGCTTCGATCGCTGAAAATTTACCAGAACAAGAAATCCTTATTCAGTCTGTTTGCGAAACCATGGTACCGAAATTAGTCGCTGAAGATATTCCATTGCTATTCAGTTTACTTAACGATGTATTCCCAAATGTTAACTATACTCGAGCTGAAATGAAAGGTAACGGTTCACATCATATCGTTATACTTTCACACTTCATCGATCTCGTCATTTTCTACAAGCTACGTCGTTTACAGGATTAAAAGATCAGATCAGAAAGGTGTGCATGGAAGAATATCTCGTATGCGGTGAAGGTGACGAACAAGGAGGAGCTTGGCAAGAAAAGGTAATGGAATACTATAACATTGCACATTGTACATATTCATCATTTGCATTGGCTCGTCATCTCATTGTTAGAAATAGTAGCATAGAAAAAGTAGATTGATTCAAGAGACGAAAAGTCTGTATCTTTTCTGAAAATATGTAATATAGATAACGTATTCCTAATTTCTTCATTCTTTATCATATGCACTCTCAGGAAATGGTCTGTGAGACCTGGGTAGAAAAGGTGAGACAAACTAATCTCTGATCAGCATTGCATGACCTGTACCTTTTCATTTCATGGATGATTCTGCGTCTCGTAAATTCGTATGATCGTCATTTATATTTCGATATTGGTTTTAATTTTAATAATGTTCGTACATAGGTGCTTCAACTTTATCAAATTTGTAATCTAAATCATGGCTTGATGATGGTCGGACCAAGTGGTTCTGGAAAAACAACAGCGTGGAAAGTACTTTTAAAAGCATTGGAAAGATTCGAGGGAATAGAGGGTGTTGCACATGTAATCGATCCTAAAGCTATCAGCAAGGAAACATTGTATGGTGTACTGGATCAAAATACACGCGAATGGACAGACGGTCTTTTCACTCATATTCTTAGAAAGATTATAGACAACGTAAGAGGAGAGATTAACAAACGGCAGTGGATTATATTTGATGGCGACGTTGATCCAGAATGGGTTGAAAATCTAAATTCTGTACTAGATGATAATAAACTGCTGACATTGCCGAATGGTGAACGTCTAAGTTTACCACCGAACGTGCGAGTTATGTTTGAAGTTCAGGATCTAAAGTATGCCACGTTAGCTACTGTTTCTCGTTGCGGCATGGTCTGGTTCTCCGAAGATGTACTTTCAACAGAAATGATATTTGAAAACTATATGCTACGTTTAAAGAATATCCCACTAGAAGATGGTGAAGAGGACAACCTTAGCAAGAAGGCAACCGAGAAAGATGATACATTGTCACCTGCGTTATCGGTACAGCGAGAGGTTGCTAGCATTTTACAAAGTTATTTTGCTCCAGATGGATTAGTAGTGAGATGCTTAGAGTATGCCATGAAACAGGAACATATAATGGACTTTACACGTTTACGTGCACTAAGCTCTTTATTCTCTATGTTGAATCAAGCTGTACGCAATGTTCTACAATACAATCATTCGCATACTGACTTTCCTTTGCCAAGTGAGCAATTGGAGCGTTATATGCCAAAGTGTTTAGTATACGCATTACTATGGAGTTTTGCGGGAGATGCGAAGTTAAAAGTTCGATCTGATCTTGGAGACTTTGTTAGATCCATCACAACTATTCCTCTGCCGACACAAAGCAATATTCCCATCATTGACTTTGAAGTTAGCATTCACGGCGAATGGTTACCTTGGAGCAATAAAGTTCCTCAGATTGAAGTAGAAACGCATAAGGTCGCCAGTCCTGACATCGTTGTACCTACGTTGGATACCGTAAGACACGAAAGTCTACTTTACACGTGGTTGGCAGAACATAAGCCAATAGGTAATATTAATATATTTATAATAAGTAATAAATATTATAAAAATAATAATAATGTAATATTGTGTTATATTTCTATCATAGTACTTTGTGGGCCACCGGGATCCGGTAAAACAATGACTCTTTTCTCTGCTTTACGAGCCTTACCTGACATGGAAGTTGTTGGTCTTAATTTTTCATCGGCTACCACACCAGAGCTGCTACTCAAAACTTTTGATCATTATTGTGAATACCGTAAAACACCAAACGGTGTAGTACTTTCTCCAGTACAATTGGGCAAATGGCTGATTCTATTCTGTGATGAAATCAATTTGCCCGATATGGATAATTATGGGACACAACGTGTAATTTCATTCCTGAGACAACTGGTAGAACATAGGGGTTTCTATCGAACTAGTGATCAAGCATGGGTTACTTTGGAAAGAATTCAGTTCGTCGGTGCCTGCAATCCTCCGACAGATCCGGGTAGAAAACCTCTTAGCCATAGATTTTTACGACATGTTCCGGTGATCTATGTCGACTATCCAGGAGAAACATCTTTGAAACAAATCTATGGAACTTTCACACGGGCTATGCTTAGGTACGAGTAACAAGAATAATAGCATTAATAACATCAACAATTTTTAAACTCGCTACTAAACTATTTTAATATAAAAACATTATAGGTTGACACCATCGTTGCGAGGTTATGCTGAACCTTTAACAAATGCAATGGTAGAATTTTACTTGGCTTCACAAGAAAGATTTACTCAAGACATGCAACCACATTACGTTTATTCTCCGCGTGAAATGACTCGTTGGGTGCGAGGAATTTGTGAAGCTATAAGACCTCTTGATAATTTATCGGTTGAAGGTCTAGTACGTTTGTGGGCACACGAAGCTCTTCGTCTCTTCCAGGACAGGCTAGTGGAAGATTCAGAGAGAACCTGGACCAATAAAAACATAGATACCGTTGCTATGAAGCACTTCATGAACGTTGACAAAGAGAAAGCATTAGCTAGACCTATCTTATATAGCAATTGGCTGTCTAAGGATTATGTGCCTGTGAATAGACAAGAGTTACGAGACTATGTTAGAGCAAGATTGAAAGTATTTTATGAAGAAGAACTGGATGTGCCTTTAGTACTGTTTGATGAAGTACTTGAACATGTTCTACGGATTGACAGAATTTTCCGACAGCCTCAGGGACACTTATTGCTTATTGGTGTTTCTGGAGCCGGTAAGACAACGCTGTCTAGATTTGTTGCATGGATGAATGGCTTATCCATATTCCAAATAAAGGTATGAATTCATTAATTCTGTTGTTTATTTTATTGAATGTTTTTATCGAATATTTATTTTATTCCAAAGGTTCACAATAAATACACTGGCGAAGACTTTGACGAGGATTTGCGTCAAGTATTAAGGCGATCCGGTTGCAAAGACGAGAAAATAGCATTTATACTCGATGAATCTAACGTATTAGATTCTGGTTTCCTTGAACGTATGAATACCTTACTTGCAAATGGGGAAGTACCTGGTTTGTTTGAAGGCGATGAATATACAACGCTTATGACACAATGTAAGGAAGGAGCACAACGCGAGGGTCTTATGTTGGATTCAAACGAAGAATTGTATAAATGGTTTACTGGTCAAGTAATGAAGAATTTGCACGTCGTATTTACTATGAACCCTAGTACGGATGGACTTAAGGACCGTGCTGCAACATCACCTGCATTATTCAACAGATGCGTGTTGAATTGGTTCGGTGATTGGTCGGATAACGCGCTCTTCCAAGTTGGCAAAGAGTTTACCAGTCGTGTAGATTTGGAAAGACCTTCATGGAAATATCCAGATTTCTTCCCCTCCGTTTGCTCTTTAATTCCAGCACAACCTTCGCATAGAGATGCCGTTATCAATGCTTGTGTCTACGTGCATCAAACGTTGCACAAAGCCAATGCTAGACTCGCCAAACGTGGCAGTAGAACTATGGCTATCACTCCACGTCATTATTTGGATTTCATCAACCATTTCGTGAAATTGTATCAAGAGAAACGAAGCGATTTGGAAGAACAACAATTACATCTAAACGTTGGTTTAAGTAAAATCGCCGAAACCGTAGAACAGGTGGAAGAAATGCAGAAAAGCTTAGCTATAAAGTCTCAGGTATGGTTGCTATTTAAATGCGAATATTTCTAACGATAAAATGTTTTTTCCTTAAGAACGAGATTTTTAAAAATGGGGGTTCTACTCGTAGGAATTGCACGCTAAGAATGAAGCTGCAAATGCAAAATTGCGACAGATGGTTAAAGACCAGCAGGAAGCAGAGAAAAAGAAGGTTCAAAGTCAAGAGATTCAACAGCAGTTGGCGATACAAACAGTTGCCATTAACCAAAAGAGAGACGATGTTATGGCTGATCTGGCGCAAGTTGAACCAGCTGTCATCGATGCACAAAACGGTACGTATTATTTGTATTTCAGTTGTCTTGATCATCGTGACGATTGCAAACGGTAAATAATTGCAATCGTTGCTTACTTGTTATATTCTAACCGCGTGAAACATATGTCGCACTACGTGCTGAAACGGTTTACAATGAGTATAGCTGTCAAGGGGATAAAGCGGCAGTATCTCGTTGAAATTCGATCGATGGCAAATCCTCCCAGCATCGTAAAGCTGGCTTTAGAATCTATATGCCTGTTACTCGAGGAAAATGCTACCGATTGGAAACAAATTCGCACTGTCATTATGAAGGATAGTTTCATACCAACCATCGTCAACTTCAACACGGAGAACATCACGTAAGGAAATGATTATGGGTCTGCTGAATGTTCAATATTCGCGTGGGAATTTATCAAGGCAGAAACGATACCATAACCGCTTGACATATATGTTATGTCTTTTTGCCTGAACACAGTATACTCGCTTACGTACAAGAACGTCCTTATAAGTATAACAAGAATGTGTTGATTGTCGCTATAAAATTAATGTTCGATTCTATAAACTTCTCAATATTTTCAAGGAAAAATTATAAGGACGTGACGATACGTAAATACTGTATGCGTATTTGTAAATAAAACACATCGTGTCTTTTGATCTCTCTAACTTTATACAGGTGACCGAAATATGTATAATGCGCAGCCTGTCGCTGAGCTTTTCTTTTATAACAATGACATATAACTGATCTAATTGCACATGCCTGCACTATTATTTTCCTTGTACTATATAAAGTCGTTTCGTTTTTCGTATAGCGGTGAAATCGATAAAGAAACAACATTTAGTCGAAGTTCGGTCCATGGCGAATCCGCCGGCGATCGTGAAGGTTGCGTTGGAGTCTATCTGCTTATTGCTCGGTGAAAATGCCAGTGATTGGAAATCTATCCGCGCTGTCATCATGAGGGACAATTTTATCAATACTATTGTCTCTAATTTCAGTACCGAGGATATTACGTAAGCATGCATTCACCGTTTGATTCTCCTTTGATAAGCAATTTAATACTTCGATCGAGGGATCAGCGAACACGGTTCGTTGATATGACAAATTTTCATTGAAGAAAAAAATATGTGAATTACTAATACTTGTTGTATATGTATGTATAATTAATCTCTGTGCTTGCTGATCTCAAATCTAAAAGATGTCCGATATAATTCACAAAGCACAGCTATTACTTAAGAGCATGTGAACGATCATTGACAAATTTGTTACTAACCAAAATTACATGTATAATATATTACATTAAAAATGTAATCTAAAACTAGTGCTAAAGCTAATGCTAAAGTTATGAAATCCATCAATCGTTGAGATTAACAGATTAACTTTTAAATATTCATTTAGCGACGAGGTGAGAGAAAAAATGAAGAGTCGATATTTGAGCAATCCAGACTACAATTTTGAGAAAGTTAATAGAGCTAGTATGGCTTGTGGTCCTCTGGTTAAGTGGGCTACAGCACAGGTGGGTCAACATTTTTTTCTTAAAAATAAAATGTCATTGTTAAATAGTGATTACATATGTGTGTTAAAAATTGCAGATCGAATACGCCGATATGTTGAAACGAGTAGAGCCTCTAAGAGACGAGCTTCACTCGTTAGAACGACAGGCTGAAACGAATATGCAAAAAGGAGAAGAAGTGAAGAATTTGATCGCTCAATTAGAGCAAAGTATAGCTTCGTACAAAGAAGAATACGCTCAGTTGATATCTCAAGCGCAAGCCATCAAAGCGGATTTGGAAAGCGTACAGGCCAAAGTGGATCGTTCTATCGCTTTACTAAAATCTTTAGTGATCGAAAGAGAACGATGGGAAGCAACTAGCGAAACGTTTAAGAGTCAAATGTCCACGATCATCGGGGATGTCTTATTGTCATCTGCTTTCTTAGCCTATGCTGGATATTTCGATCAACATGTAAATATACTTTAACAATAAGTAAAAATACTTTTATATCCACAAAAAAGATAATGAAATTAATGATATGAATTTTTTTTCAGTATCGTCAAAATTTGTTTAGTACTTGGTGTCAACATCTGCAACACGCCAATCTACAGTTTAGACCTGACATAGCAAGAACAGAGTATCTTTCGAATCCTGATGAACGCTTGAGATGGCAGGCCAATGCTTTGCCCACAGATGATCTTTGCACCGAAAATGCGATTATGTTGAAACGGTTTAACAGATATCCGTTAATTATTGATCCATCTGGACAAGCAACCGAATTTATAATGAACGAATTTAAGGACCGAAAGATTACGAAAACAAGCTTTTTGGATGACTCCTTCAGAAAGAACCTGGAAAGTGCTTTACGTTTTGGTAATCCTCTATTGGTACAAGACGTGGAAAATTATGACCCTATTTTGAATCCTGTCTTAAACAGAGAATTAAGAAGAACAGGTGGACGTGTGTTAATTACACTCGGAGATCAAGATATCGATCTTTCTCCATCTTTTGTAATATTCTTATCCACGAGAGATCCAACGGTAGAATTCCCACCAGATATATGTTCTCGCGTTACTTTCGTGAATTTCACCGTTACCAGAAGTTCCCTTCAAAGCCAATGTTTAAATCAAGTCCTAAAAGCCGAACGGCCGGACATTGACGAGAAGAGATCCGATCTGTTAAAATTGCAAGGCGAATTCCATCTAAGGTTGAGACAGCTCGAGAAATCTTTGCTGCAAGCATTGAACGATGCCAAAGGAAAGATACTCGACGATGATTCTGTAATAACTACGCTTGAAACCCTGAAGCAGGAAGCGGCTGATATTAGTAAGAAGGTCGAAGAAACGGATAAAGTTATAGCGGAGATCGAAACAGTTTCTCAACAATACATGCCTTTGTCTCAAGCTTGCTCGAATATATACTTCACGATGGACAGTCTGAATCAAGTACACTTCTTATACCAATACTCTTTGAAAATGTTCCTGGATGTTTTTACGTCCGTCTTGTCTCAAAATCCAAGGCTAACGAATATATCGGAACACACGCAGAGATTGTCAGTCATTACCAGTGATTTGTTCTCTGCCTGTTACGAACGCGTTGCTCGTGGAATGTTACACACGGACAGGTTAACATTCGCATTATTATTGTGCAGAATACATTTGAAAGGTATCGCCACGGAATCTACTTATGATAGTGAATTCACGTTCTACTTGCGTGGAAAAGAGGGTGTGCTGAACATTCGAGGACCTATTGTACCTAATTTAAGCTCGGAACAACAAGAAGCTATGATGCGCTTAAGTTTGAGACTTCCCGCTTTCAAGAAATTGGCCGAAAAGGTTCAGGAAAATACAGAATTCAACTCGTGGCTACAATCACCAACTCCTGAAACGTGTGTACCAAAACTTTGGGACGAAGAAAAACCATTGACACCAACAGGAACAGCCATGCATCAGCTGCTGATAATTCAAGCATTTAGACCGGATCGTGTGATAGCTGCTGCTTCGTTAGTCGTTACTTCCGCCTTGGGAGAATCCTTCATGGCCGCCGCAGAATCGGAACTCGATTTTGCTTCGGTCGTTGAAAACGAACTGAAGGCAAACGTGCCTGCTTTACTTTGTTCTGTGCCAGGCTTCGATGCTTCTGGCCGGGTCGATGATTTGGCAGCTGAATCTGGTAAACAAATTGCCAGTATCGCGATAGGATCAGCGGAAGGTTTCAATCAAGCCGATAGAGCGATAAATATGGCTGTTAAAGCTGGTAGATGGGTATTATTGAAAAATGTTCATTTAGCACCACAATGGTTGGTACAACTCGAAAAGAAGCTACACAGCTTACAGCCGCATGCCAGTTTTAGACTGTTTCTGACTATGGAGATCAATCCAAAGGTACCGGTAAATCTACTCAGAGCTGGTAGAATATTCGTTTTCGAACCACCTCCTGGCATTCGAGCGAATTTATTGCGTACATTCAGCACTGTACCTGCATCGCGAATGATGAAGGCTCCGAACGAAAGGGCCAGACTTTATTTCCTCTTGGCGTGGTTCCACGCGATCGTTCAAGAACGTCTTCGATATGCGCCTTTAGGATGGGCAAAACATTACGAGTTCAATGAAAGCGATTTAAGAGTAGCTTGCGACACTTTGGATACATGGATAGAGACTACTGCTATGGGCAGAACTAATCTTCCACCGGAGAAGGTGCCTTGGGATGCCTTGGTTACTTTGCTTTCACAATGTATATATGGTGGTAAAATCGATAATGATTTCGATCAGCGTCTGTTGGCATCGTTCCTTCGAAAACTCTTCACTCCACGATCTTTCGAAGCAGATTTTGCGTTGGTTGCTAATATCGACGGTTTGCAAGGAAATCAAAGACACATCACCATGCCGGATGGTACCAGACGCGATCATTTCCTCAAGTGGATCGAATCGCTATCCGACAGACAGACACCTTCCTGGCTTGGTTTACCGAACAATGCAGAAAAGGTTTTATTAACAACTAGAGGAACGGATTTAGTGTCAAAATTACTTAAAATGCAGCAACTAGAAGACGAGGATGAATTGGCATACTCTAACGAAGAATCTCTGGATACGCCTCGAGAAGCAGAGGCTGATGGTCGACCATCTTGGATGAGAACATTACATAATTCGGCTTCTACGTGGTTACAATTACTTCCAAAGAATCTGGCTACACTCAAGAGAACCGTGGAAAATATCAAAGATCCTCTGTACAGATACTTTGAAAGAGAAGTTAACAGCGGTGCTAAATTACTGCAAGATGTAATTCATGACTTGGAAGATGTCGTTTTAATTTGTCAGGTATTTGATTGATTAATTTTCTTGCGATATTATTTATAACACAAACATTATTGTCAATCATGAACCGCTTATTTTCTTTTAAAGGGTAAAAAGAAGCAGACCAATTACCACAGAATCATGTTATCAGAATTGGTAAAAGGTATTTTACCCGGTGGTTGGAGACGGTATACTGTACCAAGAGGATGCACCGTTATCCAGTGGATAACAGATTTTAGTCACAGAGTATCGCAATTGCAAGAAGTATCGCGACTAGTATCTCAAGGAGGAGCTAAAGAAATTAAAGTTCGTTTCGTAACCTGCTTTTACATTTTTATGGTTTCATATTTGTATACAATGTAATTTTGTCGTTTTTAGAGTTTCCCCGTTTGGCTCGGTGGATTACTGAATCCTGAAGCGTATATCACGGCGACGAGACAATGTATAGCACAAGCCAATAGTTGGTCTCTCGAGGAACTACAATTGGACGTAACTATAGGAGATGGGGATAACATTGCAACGGACGATTGCTCGTTTGCTGTTACTGGCCTGAAATTGCAAGGAGCACAGTGCAAAGATAATCAGCTGTATTTGACTTCGACCATAATGACCGATTTACCAGTTACCATGTTGCGGTGGATACGGTCTAACAGCGATGACGTACGAAAAGGCAAATTGTCCTTACCCGTTTATCTGAACAGCACGCGTACCGAATTACTATTTACCGTTGATTTAAATATTGCTCCTAGTCAAGATCCTCACAGTTTCTACGAAAGGGGAGTTGCTGTTCTTACATCTACTGCTTTGAATTAATACTTTATGAATTAGCTAATTGTATCGTCTTCAAAAGCGAGTCTTTTGAACGCAATTTAACATATAACGATATAAAATTACTTTGACACAACTTAATATCGATAGAATTTAGGGATGGGCAAACGAATTTCTGATAGGTAGTTTTTCGTATTTCCATATATAGTGTAAAGTTTCTTGAGATATTTATTTATCTATTCATTTTTAATTATTTATGAAGCTACAATTTCAGGCATCCTGAATTTCGTTTAACTAGAGTAGTATGTCTTTTTAACGCTATCAGTCGCGTAGTCGATCGTCGACAGAAAAGGTTTGCCCATTTCTCTTAACGTACTAAGTACACATATGGTAAAGAAAATTATTTAACGCTTCAGATAGTTTTTTTCTGCACATCATTTTTTTCGTGCAATGAAATGAACTACCCTATAATTAGCATAATTGAAAAGGATGCAAGACATCTGTTTCGAAGTCAATGTTTCGATGATCAGATTGTAACATATATAGTTTATTTAGTTTTGTATACGTTCAAAATTGAAACATTGCTTTCTGTAACAAAGTTATACTGTGTTTGCTTACATGTAAGTACTAAAGTACTATAGAATTTACATTATTTGAATGGCATCTAATAATAAAAAAGGAAACTTATTAAACACTATATAGAGTTTATTAAAAAGAAATATAAACGAAAAAAACGTTAAAATGCTCCATATTTTTCTTTTCTTTTTGTACTTTGTTTTTGCAATCAATAAAAAAGTAGTAACATATATTTCTGTAACTGTGCGATATTAAATATAACATTAATAATTAACACGTGTAAAGGATTTATTATTGTATTAAGTTGGATGTTGCAAAAGTATTGAAGGAATTTAAAAAAGAACATAAAAACTTTATTATGGTCCATAATATCAGGTATAGCAGTTACATTTATGAAATGTTATTAGAATATTTGTGACGCTATATAACTACGTGGTCATGTAAATAATAATGCAGTTTTTACATTTTTTTGTTGTTCGATCATAATTCAACGTTTAATCATATACTACATGTAGATTAAAAAACACACAGTTTTCTCGCTTCGGTGTCAATAATTTTAGTTGTTCGCGATGGTAAATGAACCCGCGTATCGGTTCTTCGTTCTGTCGGACCGACCGCCTGTCGGTCGAAAAGTAAGATATCGGCCCTGAAGAACATTGGACGGACTGTACAGTTGTAGCATAAAACGATTTTCACGATTAATGACGAAAATATTTAACAAGCAAATTTCTCTTAAAATGATTCGTTAAAATACTATATACATCAATATATAATAAAACTATTTAGAAAAAGAAACTATAGCAGTATATGTACATATTACACTGACATTTCGTTTGCAGTCTCGATAAAGGATACCGAAATTATTTAAAAATATGTTGATTCGAAGCAAGTTAAGCGTTCGTACTTCTCGAACGTACGCAAAAATAATCGAAGCACTTCGTCGTGAATAACGAAACCGAGTTTCTCCATATAATATTTTTCGTATTTCTCGCATGCGATATTGATTTGCGCGTCATCTGATAAATAAAACGATGAGATTATGCAATTCGTCAGCTTTGACAAGAATTAAAAATACTGAATTCAGTCTAGAAACAGATAAAATAGCATTCTCGGTTATCGATGAATGATACGTCATCGATAATCTATCGATCTTTCGCGGTAAAGAGCTTTCACAAATACAGATAGCCTAAACAGAAAAATTAGCAATGAAAATTCTTCGAAGGACGAGTATCATCGGTAATGCGGATCGATAAAGAGAAATTAATCAGCGAAACGCGATAATGTAATAACGATGAAGCAATCGTTGGGTTTTCTCGGTAAACGGACTTCGAACAAAAGAAAAGCATAAGTCTATATCACAGAAACGGAATCATCCGTTTCTTGGGCAGTCTTTTTATCGTCGCTATTATCGTTAGCCTGTTCAGTGGAGACTAGAGATACGTCCTTTGGAAGGACCAAGGATTCTTCGCCGATCGGCGCCGCAGCCTCGACTAGATTCTCGACGGACGCTGCTGCCGTCGGTTCGTCGTGGCAGAAACTTCTACGTAAGGACTGTTGGGTTCTCGTGGTCCCTCTTCTAATGCTACTACGAAGTAAATTGGCGACATCTACCGCGGTTAAGTTCGAACTGCTCGATGAAGTGGTACACGGTCGTCGAACCCTTTCCAAAGTCGAATGCGTTCTCTCCAACGAACATCCGACCATACCGATCCTCGTTGTTCTGTCGATGGTATTAGGTCGATGTCTCTCTGCAGCACTGTTTCGGGCATTCGCATTGTTCTCGGTTCTCGATTCGGTTACGTGAATCGTCACGTCTTGCGTTTGTCTGCCTTGATTCATTTCCACCAAGACAGTCGCGTAATCGGGCGGCGGAGGTTGCAAGGCTGGTCTTTGTCTTGGAGCGCTAGTCTCGCCAAGTACGTTCGCTATTCGTCTCACGCTTCTTCGAAAACTTTGACGTAACATCTTTGCTATCCTTGCACCTGTTGCTGTCGTGTAACTCGGAGGAGGTGTATATTTTGGTGGCGGATCCTCGAACGGTACTTCCGTGCTGGTAGGCACGATTCCATTGCCATGGATACTGGTACCCGTATCATTCCCAATATGCGTTTGCGTGTCTCTTGGATCATCTGGTTCCAAGGATGGTCGATACAGCAACTGAATTCTCTGTTGAATTAAGATTACGTCCAATGAATAAAGCAAATAAATGTAACGTTTGATGTTCTCTACGCGAAAGCAATTAATTTTATACACGTGCAATGGTTAAAAAGCGGAAACTTACGCCGTTACACTGCTCGCAGTGATTTACGGTAACTTCCGTTTGATTGTTCTAACGTTAGCACAAACAAGATAGAAAAATAGTTGTTGTTAGAGTTGTATTAGTAGCGTTAGAAAAGAAAGAATATAAATTATTGTTAATCGTTAGAATCTAGTTCGTACTTCAAATTTATTAAAACTCACTCGGACCCTTACATCAAATATATCGGGTGGACCATTGTTCAAATATCGGCACGTCTGTATAATAGCCACAGCTGGTATCGTTAGGATCGGTATTAATTGAATAGCAGCTCCAAGTTGCCTTGCCCAAATCGCCCAGTATTCTCTGACTGTACGCCGATAGGAATAAAGTTCTCGAAAACCAGCATTCTTGAATACCGTGATACTAAGTACCTGCGTTAATGTGCAATTATTCGATTAGATATTTTTGTTCGCTACGATTTTGTATAAATATTTTCACGACAAACACAAACCATGAGGATAACGGGTAATACAACGTTCCACGTGAAGGACAAGAGGGGACCAGCCCAGTGCCTGAGACATCGACCGGTGGGTGGAAACAGTTCAGCAACTACGGCTTCACCGCTGTGTGGACGACCACGAACCGCAAACACAGCACCGACTTGCACCAGGTACAAAATCATTATCCACCAGGTCCCACCAATCGTATAATCAAGATAATAAACGACGTGTATTCCCAACTATGAACATAAAAGAATAACATTCTGTGAGACATCAATTACAAATTTTATTCTTGTTTGCTTAGCAATAACGTTACAGATTACGAATATTTAATTACTTCGACGATGGCTCTGCTCATTTGCTTTAATTACTACATTTAACTTATGAAATAAGAGACGGAGTTGATACACTCGTTTTTATATCCTTTACTTGAATATCCAAAAATAACACGTCATCTTTAACATATCCAGAATATCGAGTTAGAGTCGTGTGAGGAATAAACATATAAATTCCGGATTCTTTGGTTATATCTGTAGAATTTGTTTTATCCTGCCCCACAGCTTTGACAATTTTCTTCACGTCATTGGCTGGATTCTCTTGGTTTCTCAACGTAACCGTTGCTTTAAGAATGCAAGGCCAGTCCAATAATGGATCCCATTTTCCAGTCTCTACGCGTAGACACCCGATAATGTGACGATCTTTCCATTGTCCTATACCGTTTAAGAATAATTCCAATCTCAAGGTGTATCCATATTCTTTGTTTAAAAATTTTGGACTATAAAGCGCGCAATCGTTTTCTTTGGCATCGGTCATTTTTTCTTTATAGCGATCGATCCTCCACAAAAGTCGACCATTGCTCGAATATTGATCAAAATATTCGTGTTCGCATCGACATTCAATATGTTCTGTGACTTTAAGTCTTGAGTTTTCGTCGATCAGTTCTTCGAGATATTTTAAGTTCTCCTTCATTTGAAATTTTAGTCCTTTAACGATACTTTTTTGATTAGATATCAAAGTTGACTGTTTCTGCACTTCCTCTTCCAAAGCATCGATCTTTTCCGTGAGAAGTTTTTGTTGTGCCGCTAATTCTTTCGAATTTTTGCATCTCATTTCTAGTTCTAATTTAAGATCGTGAATCAGTTCTTGTTGTTCCTGCCACATCTTGCTCATGTGCGCACTCTCTCCAGCCAAAAAAGCTTTCAAATCTTTCAATTCCAAATACCAGTTTCCGAAAACATCTTCGTGTTTGTTCTGTTCGTCTGTTAATTCTCCGTGGAGAAGCTTTAACTGTTCCGAAATATGTTGAAAGCTTAAACTAGTTCGTTGTTCAGTATTGTCACGAGTTAGCGCCAATTCGTTCAATCTCTGATTTAACGTCACGTTGTACTGTTGAGATTCTTCTGCCATTCGTGTAATTTGTAATCGCAGCGTATCAATAGATGCTTGTTGAGCGCGTAGCAATTTGAAACACTGAGACACATTATCCTGGACATGTTTGCGCTCTTTCTCCTCGTTGTTAACTACAGCTCTAAGCAACATCAATGCAGAGAATATTTTATTTCTCCACGCAAAATCTTGAATTTCTTTTGCCTGACTATTTCCTGCGGCAGCATCTGTACAGCATAATCTTCGATGTTCATCCATGTTCTTTCGTGGCACGTAAACTCCACATTTCCGTGGGCATTCTTCTAAAACTAATCCACAGTGTTTCACGTGATCGAAAAGATATTTCTCCTCTAAAAATTCGTTGCAAAAGTAACAAGGCACGCTTCGACGCACCACAGAATTCACGCGATTACTCATTTTCGAAATCGATGCACAACGACTCTGGTGACACTGATGAAACGTTTAATCAAGTAGGTACTTGGTCTGATAACCATTATCTGAACAAATAGAACATCGTGTAGCCTGACTGATAAGAAGATACCGGTTTTTAAATTCTATAGGCAAACAGAACGCGCCCGTTATCTACGTGTATTTCTCTGAAAAAGGATACTCGTCGCTTGTTTTTGACTAATCTTTTAAATAGGATTTTTCATTCAAGATTAAAATGAATAATATTGTTTCGTATTTACCTCTGTGGCCATTGGTAATCCCAAGATGTAAGCGCAAGCACAGCTGAAGAACGTAATGGTAGTTTCCCACAGCTTCATCATTTTTGCGTTGATAGCCATGATACCAGTTATCACGCAATGCCATATCGCTAGCTATAATATTAAATATTACATTTTTCTTTGAACTTTCAATCGTATAGCATTTCCACTATTTTTTCCACCCTTCGTATATTTGTATTTGTATTATCGTATATTTGTATTTGTGTACCTGTTGAGCTATTCCAAACAGAATAAGGATAAAATAGAAGAGAACTGCCCAAAAAGGCGACACTTGCTCTGTACCGAGTAACGCCAAAGTCGCGGGAAATAATTCGGTGGAAAGTCTCAAGACTTGATATCCAGATTCGGCTGTAAAATCCGCTCCTGGCCGGATTATGCGTTCACCAACGATAAACGAGGCATGAGTCATAAATCTCTCCGGTGTAGTACCGTAACCTGGGGGAGCTGGTTGGTTCGTGGGTCTCATAAACACGTACGACGATATTCTTTCTAAAATAGAAATATTTATAGTCAATACCCGGAGCGCTACAAACTGTGCTCCAAAACCTCCAAACTATATCTACTACGGCTTTATTACTTACCAAAGGAACTCGGTATATAAATATATCCATAATGCTTGAGAATTTGTACACAAGTATTCGCCAGAAAAGCCGCTAGAAGTAAAACTACGATGGTTAGTACTATCACTAGACTCGTGTCCCGTTGTAGTAAATGTTTATGCTTATTATGAGCAGCTATCTAGAAAAACAATATTCACCGGTAAGTTCTCCGTTACAGAAATATAGGTTTATGGTTTTTGTTGGTAATTACCTGCATGGCGGCTGCACCTAGTAATCCCCAAGTGAGGAAAACCTCGATGGAGGCCGCAACCCACGATTTTCCATTGATGAAGAACTCGGCCCATACAGTAGCAGGGAAGAGTTGATGTATAGAACCCGGAGGAATGAGACCAAGTAGTTTTGTACAAAGAACCAAAGTACCAAACACTGGTACTAACGTAAAAACGTATACTACTTTACCGTATGATCTCAACCCTGAAATAATAGTTCAGTTTTATACCGACTCGTCATCCGGTTGAAACTTATGGTTTCATCGATCGTACCTTTACTTAACGATACAAACACGATCATCCACACGACGGCTAAATTAAACGCCACTTGAAATTTTAACGTTACAACACCGGTATCCGATTCGTTTAACTGATGCCTTTGCAGAACGACTCCGCTAAAATAATCCGGTACCGTTTCGTACAGTTTATGCAAATTACTGTTATTCTGCGTAGGCTTCTCTTCTCTGTAGAAGGAAAACGGTTCTGCCCATCGGTACTTGTCCTGTTTCGTTATGAACGAATCTCTGTACAAACATGAGAAACATTCTATCATTTTCATCGAACAGTTTCTAACGATTTATTGCGTGGAAAAAGAAATGAATTTACCTAAAGTACACGAACATCCAGGATACACCGACAATACTGTAAATACCAATAAAGGCTTGCGCAATCAAGAGAGCTATACCAACACCTTGAAACAGTGGCGAAATTCTCCACATATCCACGGATCCAGCCGCTAATCTTTGCCCGAGACAGACGTGCAACGTAAGAAGTGGAATGCCCAATACCAAGGACAATATTAAAAACTGTACAATGAAGTTTGCTGAAAGGAAAGGAACCGGTTAGCAACTATTTCACTTGTAGAGCTTACGTGACAATGTTTGCGTTCTCACCTCCAAATTGTATACTAAGTATAGAGAATCTACTTATATTAAAAAGACCAAGGGTGCAACTGAGGCACGCCAAGGCTGGACTAAGAGCATGTGGCCATTTTCCCAATGGATTCGCATCCTCGTCCTCGTCCTCTCCTCTATCCTCGTCTCTGTCGACGTCTCTTTGCCTTTCGCATATCCTACGATGTTTTAAAGAAAAAGATAAAGAAATCTCAGTATCTATCAGTTCTGTCGCGATACTTTCGATCAAAAAACTTAAGAAAGAAAGAAAGAAACTTAAAATCCAATATGTACTCGTAAAGACCAAATACGAGGTTGAACGCGACACCGCGTGACTATCGATTCCCGATAAGAGCATGTAAAATAATCATATGGAGGTCGTATCGATTTGTCTTAGAACTGGGTCGAATGTAATTGTATCTTATGTATTTGTTTTTGTTGCCGAAGAGAATTCGAAAACAATGTCGATCACTTGCTCTCGATATCGATCTCGCAACTGCGTTTTTTTACGCGAAATATTCCACTAATCGTTCGTATTTCTACTTTCAAAAACGGACAAAGCAACGCGTTAATAAGTGGAATCTAACTCTCGAATTTTCTCTAAAAGTACACCTTGGCCTCGTTTTCCGTGAAAAACACAGGAACTTTGTATCCATCGTCGCAATTGCACTGATTTATCAACGCTTCGTTTATAACTATTTTCGTTTTAAACCGAGTAGATCGTTTCTTTCTTGCGCATATAGGTTCTAAAATAGGAAAAGGTACAGAGGTCATTTCTGACGTCAAAGAAGAATTGATTTTGAGGCCAGTATTTCTCCCGAAATACCTGGTGCAGGATCAGGATATCTTATCGACAAACTGACCGCTCGCAAGGAGACCACAGTACCTCCAGCGGTGTTTCCTAATAACGTTACGATTAGAAACACGCAAGTGGTAGATTTGGCACGATAATCGTCGAACGTTTCGTTGCTGAGTGAATCGAATTAGTTAAAAAAATAAAAACAAAACTGCGTTCTTTTTCGTTCAAGAAACGCTAGGAAATGTTACGCCTTTCGGTTCGGTTCTTCCAAAAAGAGATGAACAGTTCAGAAGGTGAACCTGTTAATATCATTAGGGAACGAATGCCGTTTTCCAGATCAAATTTTGCGATTCCAATGACGCTGAACTGAAAACACGGCTGCGCAGTATACAACTCGAATTGCAATAGACTCGTGGAAACAGTCGTGGGATCCTACCTTGATCGCGTATTTATCGCGACTTTTCGGAACGGTGGAAATTCATAGTGATCGTATCACTGAGAAAAAAGTCAAGGTACATTTAATTCGATCAAGGCAATTCGAACAAGGTTAAAGTCCGTGTTCCTTAACGGGACATCGATGACGAGTAAAACATTTTACGGCGCAACTTGATTAAAAGCTGGATATTCGTTGTGCCTTACTTTTTAGCCTTTTTCATGGCACAATAAACATTAGTGTAGAGGACTACTATTTGACAGCGTTTTAGTTATGCTCGTTTATGTCCGCGTAAGCTTTGAGCTGAACAAACTGTTAACAGTATTAAATATAACAAAGCAAAGTGTAAAAAAACAGGTCGACCGGTCGACTTGAACGCGCGACACCGACGCATCGATGTCTCTAAACTGATTAAATGAGAAAATGTAACTTATCGCTTAATGTTCAACCAATTCCACCAACCTTGATCGATGATTGTCAACGTCGTTCGAATTACAACTTAAAGCGAGCATTGCGCGATTTTTCTACAAATAAAGCATCTATGATCAATTTCGGAGACTTAATCATAGAACAGAATAGTCGAGCTCCAGGGACTTGACTCGATTTCTCAAGGAAAACGAGTCATCGACGAGCAGCGATTCCTTATGACTCGATACGGTAAAGGTTAAGTCTCCTCGTCGAATCGAATTAAACAGAGAGACTCGAGGTAATCGTAAGAGGTTACTTACGATCTCGTAGAAACTGAGATCGATAGTTATTCGATGACTAACGAAATAATTATTCTGGAGAAATTCGCGTCACCGGAGGGTCTCGTCATTCTTGGGACTTCATCGAGCACCGTTAAGAAGCAAGAAGTTGTCGGAACGAATCGTTAGAATCGATCGATACCTGATGCGATGTCTACGTTGACTACAGTAGAAATACTGACGGCAAATCGCTGGATCGTGGTTCATCTTGAACACATGTCACGGCAACGATGTCAATGACCGTCCGTTTCCACGGTGTCGATCGATTTTCCTCTTCCTTCGATCGCTCCTGCTATTCTACTCTCTTTCCGGGAAACTCGCACAAACAATAGAGCAACCAATTTCCTTCAAACTTTTTATCCTTTCTTTCTCCAGTGATTTCGAATCGTCTCCTGATTCGACGAGATTCCAGTCTCGTTCAGAGAGTTCCACGAAAAAAGAGAAGGACGTCCGAGTTTCGAAATTACTTTTTCAATTTCGAAGAACAATTTCGCGATTACCGAGTCAAATGCTCCGTGGTGTTTTCTTCTTAATTCAGCTCACATTTCTTTGAAACGAACTTGAAAAGGAAAGAAAATCGAAGAACAATTTCCAAGCTTTAGCGATCGCTTTTGACGAACGATTTTACGGCTCTGTTCTCTTGGCCTATTTTAGCATTCGCGCGATTGTACCGGACTCCTTTCTTTTCGATTTTATTCACCGACGTTTCTTCTTTCTTCTGGAACACTACAAGGACACCGCAGGCTTGGAACATGCTTCCGTTTCGAAACGTTCTCGAACCTCGCGTTTTAGCGTCGTATCTTCGAGGTGCGTAGAAGCTCCTAAACTCCGTGCCATGGCATTTAATTCCTCGAACAAACGATTCCAATTCGTGAAATATCTTCGAACACGTTTCGTATCGCGTAATCGGTCGATATTATGCTTTAAATGCGCCGCAATGCGGTTGTCGTTGTCGCCTTTTCGCGAGGTAATCGATCGAAACTCGTCGATTTTCGATCGTTTGTTTCAACCAAAAGAGGATCGATTTCGAAAGAAGCTTCGAGGAAGCAAATTCCGAAGAGAAGCTCCGAAAAGTTCGGAAAAACGTGGCAAATTCTCGCGATGGAATTTTCACAGGAGAGTACACTGCAACTTTTTATCGAAACACGTGGCTTCTACGGAGGCTCGTGCGTTTAAAGCAACCTGTGCACACCAACATCTACCAACGACTAATAAGACGCTCGGGGCACGATCCTTGGATGAGCATCGTTTCGTACACGGCCATCGACTTTGTTCGTTCTCTCTCAACTTTGCCGCGAGCTTAGATTCATGGAGAAACAAAGTTCCAAGCAATTAGTATAACACTCGGCTGCGACGAAAGTTAATCGTAACCGCGTTTCACGCTTTTGCCTTCGTTCTTGGTCTTCTACGCGCCTTCGAAACAGAACGTAATCCACTTGCTGCTACTTTGCAGCCCGTTAAGTTACACGATATTCCGAGATAAGTTGCGCCAAGTATCGACCACTGTCCTGAAACGAGTCCATCGTTCCAAAGAAATTTAAACGAATAAAACGGGGCTATCCACTATTCCTTGATCATTCGCGTGTCTTCCAAATGAACCAGCACGGTGACTGTGTGGCACTTCGCAGGCCGTTACGTTACACGGTATTCCAAGGCAATTTTCGACGCGTTAAGTATCGACCAGTGCAAAATGTCACCGAAGAAGCGGCGCAATCAGCTTTATCGCTGTTGCACATAAGACGATGTATGTTTTTCAAACGTGCATACGTAGAAAAGAAGAACTCGATGTTAACTATCGAAACACCACCATGGAACCAACAACAACACCAAGGGAAAACTAGGGGATGTGCAAGAAGGCATACACCTGATCGCTACTTTCCGGAACTAGTTGTCGCGATAGCGTGGACGGACCTTGAAGACTATACGATGCTTATACCGGGTACACCATTGCCGATGAACTGTACGTATATACTTACGTAGGACTCCTCGAGAACCGATGTATAACTGTACCCGGCTACAATCACGTGACGAACTGGTAGAAGAGCGCACGTGTATGCTCACGCGTGCGTGCTCGATCGTTCGTTGGATCGGTTAGATTCAGAGGCGGGATCGACAGTCATCGGTTCTTTCGAACATTAGTCAAGATAATGGAAAAATTTTCCAGTAACGTTTTTTTATTCACCTTCGGGACAAACACGAATATATAGACAGTGACGTGGGCGTGTACTCGCTCGAGCACGATCGCTCTTTCGATCTCGTAGAATTACGATCGACCGTCCTTCGTATGCCTTTGGAATAATTGTCCGAGTGATTCGGACGGATTTTCGAGTAATTTTTTTGATCGCTCTCGCGATAAAAACTGACGGGTACGTTGACCTTAACTGCTCTAAACTCCTACACGCTCTATAGGCGGAGCGTAGGAATTTTAACGAGTTCCTTGTTCGTTCGCGAAATATAGGGTTGTTCGAAAAGAATATCGATATTTTGTCAGAATATTAATACAAAGTAAATGCATGGAATTCCCGCAACGAGATCTTGGAATTAAGATACTGTTTTCAAAGATTACACAACGCAATCGAATTGATCGGCTGACTAAGACGTAAATTACGCGATTGCCCGATTTTGTTATGCAGTGTAATCTTTATTTCGCAGACACTTGACTTGCATTTCATACTTGTTTATGATATTACGTCAACCTGAGATAAAAGAATTGGAATTTCGGAGAGTAATTAATTAGCGAGTGCCTCTCGGAACAGTCGTAAACCTTCAAGTTATAAGCCGAAGATTTCGTACTCATTTAGTACGACGTTGACTAAATACGTCGGTGCAGCTGTGCCTACGGTATCAGGATAGCAGAAAAGGCGGGAGGCAAACGATCGAACGTGGTGCACCGTCTACATCGGTGTGCATCGCACATCAAGAATTTTGTTTATGTAACGTTCGCGACGTCAAAGGAATTTAGAATAACTTCGAGCATTATTCACGATAACTTGTTTGCTAATTCGGACACGCTGGAATTCGGAGATATTAGTACCTTATCCATACGAGTCCGCGCAAAAGGTAGCTGTCCCGTCTGAATACAATTCACGCAAACAGAGATTGTTACTATTTCCATTCAAGAAATTTGACGCGTTCGACACAACAGTGAATAATATTCACTGCACCATATAAATGGTACGATGACCTACATAAAGCGGTGCG